TTACTGAATTTGGTATATAAACCAACTAATAAAAGGGTTTAGTCAGAAAATTAACAAGCATTCGTGCTCCAAATACTTGAGAAAATCAGACTATACAAGTATAGACCGGTATGAGTGAAAATGTTAGGTGAACTTGTTAACACTTTGATTCAATACGCAAATAAAAGTGAATGCGTAATAGTATGTTACAATGAGCAGCAAATCAACAATGAGTATATATCCTCACTGATTAAAAAAATCTAACTGGAGGTGCATGAACTATTTGAAACCATAAGGGTAAGTAAATATGTAATTCGGCAAATGGGCAACTACGTACCGTACTGAATTAATACTCGTAGTATTTGACAAAAGGCTGGCTTTCCCACATGTACTTAACAGTGCGATGCCCGGGTGGGATATACAACAATAGTATTCACTTTACTTTTACCGATTTCTTTTTACCCCAACTGTTCAAAAATATCATTAAAATCGACAACAACTGTCAAAGCAGACACGAACACCATTCGTGCTACGCCTTGAAAGCAGCACACATCCGCTCGTTTTCGTCTCGTCAAGTATGTGCATTGGAGCGTGCTATCGAATACGATCTTCGGACAAAAATGCCGGAGTTGCGCATCATGTTGTTTAATGTCATTGGTGCTACGAAGGCGCTCTCGTGTATATTGTTGTAAGAAAACAGAAAGCGGAAACAACATGTCTTTGAATATAGACGAATTTATTGGTATTCACATTCGTCCACAAATTACAGCGGTGGTGAAAAAACACCAGGCATAACAGTCCTACTGATATCACCATTCCTATTTTATACCTGTTGCTAAATACAGAGTACCGTTTGTTGTATTAACATGAATGAAATTCTCCCTATCTGATCTCATTTGATCATTATTATTTTATAGCAAAATGACTTTATGAGGGAAAATGTCCATGTTTTATTTTGTAACTTGCAGGAAAGAACAATATATATAAAACAATGAAATAAACATTATATACAAGCTAAAGATTTAATGATAACTATACTTATACTTATGTAAAGTGTATATATTACTTGTTCTGCACGAAATGCATTCATGTGTTTTATATTTAATGTTTATTTAACATTGGCCCATTTTTTTTGGGGGGGGGGGACCACACAGGATGGACCAATAATAAATATACGAAACAAGAAAATAAAATTTTATGATGTAAATTTAAACTATTTCATCATTCGAATCCTATATCAAATTGTAGCAGAATTAAAGTGCTACCGAATAAGATCGTTAAAATCCTTCGATGGTCTTTCTGTCGTTTGAACCTCGAGTTAATATATAAAACAAGAGAGCTACGCTCAAATATATGGACACGTCTGTTCGCAGTACAGTACGGTTTACCGTACCGTCAGATCACAGTCTACAAATATCCGAACGTTTAATGACGTCATAGCAAACAAAAACAAATCTCACAGAGCTAACAGAAATATGGACCTTTCCCCGACCTTTGACCCCCGGATAATTCTTCCTATACTTTACCATTGCAACATTTTCGGGGCTATTTTAAGAAGTGCTTTTGCGAGTTGGCGCCTGTAAAATGGGGTATGTGTTACAAACCATCATTATGATTCATCGCATACAACAACCTATTTTTCAAAAGTACCGGTAAAGAATTTCATGCTAGTCTATCACAGCTATTTCTACACTAATTTTTATTACTGCAATCAAATTAAAACTCCTAGGAAGACCGAGTGATCATTGAATTATCTGATTTATATTTAAGTTTCCGAAACACAACTGAAAACTAACAAATAGAGTTCAAAAACGCGAAAACGAGGTAATGTTTACAACCACGCTTGAAAATCTGTCTGAGTGAGAAAAGTGTATTAGCGGATGCGAAAAGAGGGCATTGTTACGTCACTTTTTGCATCTTGCTGATTAGCCAATGTCACGAAGTAAACAAGGAAAAACGATACTCGGGGAAAGGTCCATTTAAAATGAATAAAAGTAATAGCCTTCTGGGGAAAAATTTTATCTTCAACCACTGAAAATTTCAAAGCAATTGGTCCAGTATTCGAAGAGAAAAGCAGTTTTTTAATATCTCCACTAGGTGTGTTATTCTGTGTCAAATAACAAGAACAACATAACATTGAAACGATCGTTATGTCCACTACGCGTCCAAAAAGTCAAAACCACCATTTTTTTATTATTACGGATCACCACGACATGTCTGGAATTCAGCCCAAATGCTTTCATGCCCTAACTATGCCGACATAAGTTCTGTAGCTCATTTTTTTTCGGAATTCGAAAAATAGATCACTTGTTTCACATCATTGTGGTTAACTTCACTTCAAACCCACTATTCTGAAGCTTGTGGAAATGTACTGTATAAATATTTTTTTTGAATATCTGAATCTGAAGATAATTAAAAAATATGAATATGTAAGCTCATTTTCAAATATCACAATCGTTGTATTACCATTGCATTTGATGACTATTTCTCCAGCCTAGATAGCACAGTGGTTCTGCACTGCCGGTCCGTCGAATATATTCCAATACTGTATTAATATATTATAAGCAAATTTCAAAATACAAAGTATTGACGGAATGTCCATTAATTTTGTGATTTTTCATTTCTTATTGATTCGTAGTACAGGTATTCGTCTAACAACCAAACTTGGTGAGAGGTCCTCTGCCCATTTCACTGAACGGCTGGATGTTCGTTAGGTCTATGACCTCATAACGGCGGTTAACGTCATAACGGAGGAGTTTGATAGCACGTGGTTCGGTACTTAATTGAGAACTTTGCAGTTCGCACGTTCCATAAATTGACAGTAGGCCTATAATTTAGCGAAGTGGAGGCAAACAAACAGCAAAGTATTATCTAGTTCTTTCAAACGAAACCCAGCGGTAAAAACCAAGTTAGTGGTGTTAACAGGACAGAGGAAGAGACTGCAACTTCAACTTTACAACATGCCCCGGGATCACGCAGAAACAAGCAAAAATTCTTTTAAACGACGCAATGAAACTCGCAAAGCCAACGCGACATTTTCACTCGCAGCATAGCAACCTCATTGCAAAGCCTCTTGCGCATTTCCTTGTACTTTTGTCGTAATTGCATTCTTTTGATTATGTTTTGTGTTCATGACATTTTCGGTTAATTTTGAAGGTCCCGGGCGTAAAATTTGTTTTGGAATTTTACCGGTCCGCGAACTGAAAAAGGTTGAGAACCACTGAGATAGCATCCACTCTACAACGTATTATCAGCCTCCACATACTCTTTGTTTGTTATACATCAAAACTCAAAATGTTTAATGCCAATATATTTAAAAAGCATGACTGACCAGGCCTTTAAACCTAAGTTAACAATAAAATTATTGTCAAAATATGAGAATGAGGTTTTTTATGGTACCGTCTTTAATCATATTTTCCGTGGTCATAAATATGACACACGTGGTCATAAATATGACATATTTGTTTGAATCGGGCCAACTTTTATAACCAGTATTGCATTCAGTGAATATGTCTCCATGCTGTTTTACAGTTTATTTTTTGCATAGTTCATAGCGCTGAAAAGTAAAGAAAGACAAATTCAATAGCACTTAAATAACTTTATAATTTTAAAATCCTGGAGTAAGCAACATGAACTATACAAAATATTCTCACCACTTAGCAACAATACTACTGACTTATCGGACCAACGTCGTCCTTTTCTACATATTTAAAAAACGCCACATGTTCTGAACTTATTACCTATCGATCTTGATCGGTAAGTATATTGATAGGTATTTGTCTGTTTGTCTGTCTGTTAGTTGCACGCGATATCTCACGAAAACGGGGTTGAATCTGTTCCAAATTTTGCATGTACATTCATCATATCTCGGACCAGAAGCCTATTGATTTTGGATGAATTATGTCGTACAATTAGCGAGTAATTAATTAATTAGTGATGGGACACGCGGTGTACCTTATAGAAAGAAGCTTTGCTTTCTCAAAAATGAGAGGAGAGCTGACAAAACCTTGTACAATGTTTTAAAACGTACAGAATATAAGACGTGAGGTTGTGCACCCCTGCACTACGCCACCTTATGTTACCGTTACCCGTACCTGAAACGAGAGGCCGCACAGCAGCCACGCCCATCGCGCGCATCTTGCCGGCGATCCTTGTGGATTTACGCAATAATCAATACAATATGGAATATGGGACTATCTTCGGAGAGGTCGAGGCGGAGCGGTGCTAAGTTATACTCAGATATTAGGGAGGATAGGGATTTCGTATGGGGGGAAAATCCGAAAGACGGCTTATTCATATGGCGCTCCACAACACAATTCTATTTTGTCCTGTTACCAGTCCATAACCTGATAACCACTATTTCAGAAGCATGGGCCCGAAAAAAACCTGAGTTTTTCTGTGCATGTGTCACTAGTCCACTTGCAGTTACAATTACTGAATTAGGTACCCGGATGAAATAATGGCAATTGATTTATATAATTAAATATATCTGGAATCTATAATCAGCTTAACAGTCAGACAGTCCATAAAGCGCTGGTGATAGATAAAAAAAACTGATTATATTATGATCCTGGATTCAAAACTTAGAACTTGCTTCTTAGGTCAATAGATCATCTAAAAATATTTTAAAAATACTCAACTCGTACACCTGTACACACACATCTGCACATACAAACCAAAGAAATAAAAAAAAAACGAGAATCCTTCAAGATAGGCCTGCCTAATAAGCTATACAGCTATAACAACAATAGTACAAAAAATACAACAAGGAAAATATTTAAGCTATTTTATATCTGTATATTCTGATACCAAAAACTTAAGTCAGTAAGTAGATACAATTGCCTGTCGATACTAATGCCAGAATGCAGAAGTAGGCTATAACATCAGACAGTCAGAAGAATATTTCAACATGTCAACAATTCTCACAATGAAATTGTGTGCACCCGAGACATCCCAACTTTTGATTGGGCTCCCAACAGCCCAAGCTATGGAATGCTAAATTACTAATTCTGAATTTGTATCATCAAATACAGGGTTAGAGAATTTATTTAATCTAAGCGCAACAGTACTTTTAAAACATGAGTACATCGACAAGCTCAAATTTTGTGCCATTGGAGACGGCAGGTGATATTGCTGCAAGAAGAGAGGATGTATTGTCCCAGTACAAGGTAAGGTCTTAAATTTTTTAAAGTGCAATTACAGAATTATTATCTTTTGTCTGGAAGACTGGTAATACAGTAATATGCAAATTTATGTAGTTTTTCTGGGTCTCGTGTAGTTTCGTACCTAACTTACTTCTAGTGGGCGTAGCATAACAATTTAATATGTCAATCCTAACCCCTATCTGACTACGTCATCCAAAAATTACGTCACTACGACATCACAATTACGTCATAGAGCTTGCCAAATATACGTACAATCGCCCGAAATGGCATTGGCGCCGACGATAAAGAACTGACTGGCGTTATCGATCTCTTTCCTATTGGAATCGTTGCGACAACAAAACGAGAGAAATAACTGTTCGATTCCGGGTACTCGTTTGTGCGTCTTGGATGGCAGTTCGGATAGTTTCAAGGGCTCTATTACGTCACTGTGATGTCGTGATGACGTAATTTTTGGATGGTGTAGTCAGGTTGGGATTAGGATTGATACATGGAAAAATTGTCAGGCTACGCCCACTAGAAGTATGTTAGGTACGAAACTACACGACACCCGTTTTTCCTTGATCGTTTAAATACCTTAATTATTTTAAATTCTGTCTCTCGAATATGATAAAAACAAGCAAAAGACAATTAAAATGAAATTTTTACTTAAAAAAGCATGCTATTTATAAAAAAATATAATTGCAGATAATACAGTAATATGATAGGTGATATAAATTTTAAATGTTTGTGTATTTACAGGCATTCAAAGATGCATTGGTCATTAGAAGACAACAGTTGCATGCTGTACTGCAGTTCCAAAATTTTCAAAGAAATGCGAATGAACTGGAAAAATGGATTGCGGAAAAAATGGTAATTGCAACAGAAGACAACTGGAAAGATTTGACAAACCTTGAGGTGTGTTACACTTGCAATTTTTCAAATTACAAGCAGTTGCATTAGACATAGAAAGAGATAGCGGGTTTGAGAAGACGTGAAATCTGATGCTTTTCAAGCATGCTTCACCTGAGATATTACTGCCCTGGTTTGAGTATATCTTTAAAACAATAAATAGTTAGATATTATCAATCATGAGATCTAACGAAGTACACACATCAACTGCTTAAATCACCCCAAACAAAAATGTGATTTAAAAATTCAGCCCGTATTTTTATTATTTTTCAAATACAAGTCTGTTTCGCCCATAGCGCTATACCCTATTTTGCATGGGATATACCTGCTTCGTCTGTTAGTTAAAAATTGAGTGGATTTCAATTTAATTAAACGTATCTGCTAAGTATTCCATACGGCGCCAGACACACTTTTTTTGAAAGCATAAATATTTCACATCACGTACCTGCTTCGTCTGTTAGTTAAAAATTGAGTGGATTTCAATTCAATTAAACGTATCTGTTAAGTATTCCATACGGCGCCGGACACACTTTTTTTTAAAAAAAAAAAATTTCACATCATATTTCTGTTTGGCGTTATTTCAAAGAGATATGAAGTTTACCTCGCTAGACCCCAATCATGATATCCCACTTCATGAGTCCATGACAGTGAAATGTACTCATATTCATATGATTTCCGAAGTGTTAGATAAGTAATGAATGTAAATATTTCTTGTGAAAGAACCATGATTAATTGTATATTTAAATAATAAACACCTTTTAATGATTTTGTCTCCGCATTTCAATTAAAAAATGTGAATTTCATAAAAAACGATGCAAAACTCTGAAATTTAAATATGCATTTAGTTTTACTATACATTTTAGGCTCGATTACAAAAACATGCTGCTCTTGAAGCTGAGGTTTATGCCAATGCTGGTGCTTTGGAAAAACTGGATGATGCTGGAAAAACCATGATTGAAGAAAATCATTTTGCTCTTGATGATGTGAAGGTAAAGATTCATACACCACTTAAAATGGAGAAATTTTGTGATAGAACTGACTAACTCTGAAGATTTTTTATGATGGATTTGGAATTTTAAATCGATGTTATAATTTGAAAAAGTATAAAGGGCTATTTCAAAAAATATCTGTACAAAAAGCAAGTTTTTGATCCCTAATTAAAATATCAACTTATTGACTGTAAACGAATCTGAATAGGCCTATTTAACCTTCTTTGGAAAATCCTGACTGTACATATAGTACAAAAAGATCAATATCACAAGAGAAAATATTGATTTTTCGTACCATCAGTCTGCATAGATGTTGGTCATATTGCGTTCTTAGTTCATCTTGTTTTAAATTATGGATGAATGCACTTAAATTTCTAGCGCATACTAGAAATGCAGAGCTTTATATCTTCGATGTATTGTATTAATAAGGTATATTCAGAACATGAACATTGAGTGGCAACATAAACTAAGAAATATGTGAAGTATGATTTCTGTAAAGTTGTAACTTTCCCACACATAATACAAATATCAGTTTAATCATGAGAAAACTGAGAAGTAAAGCAATTTTCTTTAGTTTGGGTGTGTTTATATTTGACAAAACATAGTAAAAACACCAATCACAATAAATTAGTTTGAGTTATATTTTATTTGTTTTCATATTATTATCATTTATTGCTTGAATGATAATTTCAAAAACAAGGAATCATAATTTTCCAATGTGCAGTTGTGTACTATGAAATCAAAATTTTAGAATATTGCCTATAAGTACTCCATTTTCAAACAAAATCAATTTCACTACTTTTCTGAAGGATCGTCTTGTAGAACTTCATAAATTATGGGATGAATTACTTGCTGCTCTTGATCTACGCGGTGTTCGTCTTCGTCAGATGCGAGCTCTTGTGATGTATATCCGACAATGCGATGAAGTTCTATCATGGATAAAAGATAAGGTATGATAAAAATTGAATTGAGATTGGCTATATTGAATTCAATTCAGATAGTTACAACACTCTTGGTTTCCTATTTGACTCGGTGGCTCCTATGCTAGTTGAAAAAATTTTCAAATAGATGTTTACAGTGTGTATTTTGTAAGGCAGGTAATTCCTAATATGTTTTTGATTCGTTATATTATCAGGAAGCCGTTATTGCTTCAAGTGAAAAAGGTAGAGATGTTGAACATGTCCAAATGTTGCAGAGAAAATTTGATGAAATTTCAGCTGAACTTGTGGCTCAGGGAGACAGAGTTCGAGAAGTCAATGAAACTGCAGACAAAATGGTTTGTATGCCAACCTTTGGTTTATAGTTGTTTCATAATTAACTCTGACAATGATTGGAAAAAATTAGATTGGCGATTTACTTATAGCTAGGAAATTTGAGCAAATTGAATACCCTTAATAGAATGAGATTTTCAACCAGACATATTCAATGAATAATGAATGAATTGAAGCATGGTTTCTGGTTAACAACAGAATTTTAGTACTCGAATTTAGATATTCGAAATGTATTCAGAGGATCCTTTGCACTAGGTATTAGCATAACATTATAAAGGTGTCATCTACCTCAGTAAATTGTTTCATTATTATCGATACATGTTCTAAATAATATAATGATATTTCTTTAGGTATTCTCTTGATGGCAAATACTTACTCAGCAAAATGATGTACGGAGACAATATTACCTTGTTGCTTCCATAAAAACCCACAAAATCTTTGTATAATCTGATCACGTCTCTAATATTTATAATACTTTCGTTTATATTTTCTACTCACTTTAACTTGGGCAATGTTATCATACAGTTCCTATGTCTCTCATCAGGACCACAGATACAAATTTTCCAAATAAATGTATATAAATCATAAAGAATTATTATGAACATACTAGGAAGTTGCTGCTTATTAAGGAAGTCATTGTTGTGATAGTCAGGAAATTATTGAGTCTGCTGTCTGTTCTTCATTTTTCTTTATTCCATGTTGTGATTTCAATAAATAATGAAATCATCTTTTAATTTCTCATTTACTATAAAACTGCAGCTGAAATTAAATATGTGAATTGAATGAAATATTATGAAAATGAATATATAAATATGAAATATTTGTTGAGCTAATAATTGCAGCGTTTTGACTTGAATGTTCGAAATTGTTCTTTATGGTATTTTGATTGCTTTGCTTATTTATGGAAACAGAAGTATCAAATTTTGTATATTGTCTGACTGTTAGTACTAACATTTGCACTTGTGGTTTCCTGTTTGACTCCATTGTCAGGTTTCCAGGAATTCTGTATTTTTAAAATATTTCTATTTGTGAAATATTACTTTTTAAACTGAAGTCTTCTCTATTACCTACAATGATTCGATTTGCGGTTTTTGTTTCATTTGGATTCATTGTGTTTAAACAAAATCTAATGAAAAATTCCAGGTTGAGGAAGAACAGCATCCAGAAGCAGACACAATTCGTGAAAAACAGGAAGAAGTTGCGAAAGCTTGGGAACATCTCAATGATCTGGCAAAAGAAAGAAGTGAAAATCTTGGAACTGCTGCTGCTGTACAAAAATTCAAACGGTAATGAGAGAACAGAACAGGCGCAAGTCACAATTTCGAGTTTTGAGAAAAACACACAAAACAATTTGGAATTTTTTTATTTTTGAATTTCTAGATATTCACATTTAGTAAAGACCTGAGCTCTGGTTATTTTAATGTGGATGAGAATATCTTTGTAATCAATAATTTTGGTACTTCAGCTTCAATTCCTTTCTGCTTTTTTACCCATAAAGGATTTTGGCCCATTCTGCTCTCAACAGCTTCTGAATTTTTCTGAACAAGGTGATTTAGGCGTAAGTTGCACTGAACAAATTTTTAGGGATGTAAGTTTCGGACATTACATTTCTGATGTTCATGCCCATCATATTGGAACTTAGTACCATATTTTTTTCAATATTTTGAGGTTTTACTTTTGAGCCATGTTCTACAAGGTGATTGTCTTGAAATCCTAAATTTCTCAATAATAAAAATTTTAGCTGCAATTAGGCTCTTAACTTCTACAAAATATTATAGTCCTAAGTCCAGCCAAAAATTTTTTCATTGAGAATTTCAGGATTTCAAGACCACCACCTTGTAGAGCATGGCTCAAAACCCCGAAATATTGAAAAAGAATGAATTTTCCAAAAATGTGAATTAGTAGGCCCCTTCTGTTCTTTACCGGCGAATAACATAATAGCGTTCTGAAAAGTATTTGTTGCAGTCTAAGTTTCTTTTTTATTTCGACTTACTTTCTGATCTAATTTGTGAATTTTTGCCAACTTTATTCAAATAAAAGCTAATGATACACTATATACTGATTACTAAAAAAATTATCTACGTTTTTTAGTTGGTTAATGAAGCATATTCTTAACCAACTAAATTCATCTATGCAGTGAATAGTATAATCATATTCATACTTACCATAGGTAATTGTGTTTTTTTGATCTTCAGTGAAACTGAAGAAACTATTGAATGGATGAATGAGAAGGAAAAAATTTTGTTATCAAACGATGTTGGACATGATGTCGCTTCTGTTCAAGCATTGCAAAGAAAACATGAAGTTGTTGAACGTGATCTTGCGGCTCTTGAAGAGAAGGTTTGAAATATTGGTTTGATTGTTACGATTTGCTTAGTTAATACAAATTGTAGTGTAATAGGTCAGTAAATGGAAAAAATTCGAAAAAAGAAATTATTGTTAAGTTAAGAGAATCATTTTATTATGTGAATTCAACCTATTTTTTGAGAGAATTACTATTTCTGCTGAATATTTTAAAATTTTTGAATTCTAATGATTTGGCTGCCATTCGTATCAATGCGCTGAAAAAGTATCATAAATCAAGAGCATAAAAAATATAGATATGGGCGTATCTGGATTTTATATACATTCGTTATCTTTGTGATTCTGTGCTTGCACCAGCTATACTCAATTCTGAGTTCTGACAATTGTTTCCTTTGGGTATTTTATATCTGTTTAATCCAATTCAGCTCATAATTTTGATTTTTACTATATTTATATTTTTCAATAATTCAGGTTTCTGCTTTGAAAAATACAGCAGACAGATTGGAAAAAGATCATGATGATGTTTCTGTAACAAAGGAACGAGAAGCAATTGATGAGAATTGGGATCGTGTTACTGATGCTGCTAAAAAGAGAAGGAAGAATTTGGAAGAAAATTATAACTTGCAAGTAGGTTTTGAATCTACCGGTAGTTTATATTTATTTCCAATGCTTATCTGAAGAGAAAATATCTGATGATTTCGTATAAGGGTTGTTCCAAGAATTCAGTTTTAACAATTTTTGAAATAATAAGAATTCAGATAATCCAAAATACTGTTTTTTTCTCTTTCGAAAATTTCTTCAAGTTGAAATCATGTTGGCATATAATATGGTTTTACTGCAAAATAAATCTGTTTAGAATATTCGAAATCGAAATTAGTTGCAAAGTATAATACCAGAGTACCTGACTATATGAATATTGATAATTGACATCCCTAATTGGTATCACTTGTAATCTGTGTCTTTTTTCATCCTGATTCTAAAATATTGTTATCAATACCGAATTTAATACAAGTCCTGTCCCAGTGTTGTCTTGGCTCATTTTGAGTTTCATTGGACCTTATTGAGTGATGTATATGGTGATGTTGTTTACTGGCGTTGAAGTTTGAGTTGAATTTCAAAATCCTACATTGAAAATTGATTGAAATCATGGTTCTGCCAGCCAGGTGTATCCTAATTGCAGCATATTTGATGAAATTTTATTTGTCAATGCTTGAATGATAATTTAGAATAGTGTTCTTCAAACTTCTCTCATCACGAGTCACGACCCACTTGGCACGACAGAATTTTTTTACGACTGCCAGGAACTAAAATTAAAATAAAGTAAAATTTAGTAATGCAGTAAAAAAAAAATTGACCTATGTGGTGTGCATGCATATTGTTGCACAAATTCTCAATACCGGTTCCAAATCTTTCAAATTTGATCGATATTTTGTTTCGAAATAACCTACCGAAAAGGTTTTACCGTGACCCCCATTGAGCCCTTCCGGGACCCTGAGTTGAAAGAGCCATGATTTACAATATTCAGATTGAAATGGTGAAGATATGTAATTGATTCTTATTTTTCTTCTTCCTTCAAGAATTTTTAATTGAGAGATTTCTTCTATTTCAGAAATTTCTTGCTGAATGCAGAGATTTCATTCAATGGAGTGAGGATGTCGAAGATAGAATATTATCTGACGATTTGGTCAATGATGTCTCGGGTGCTGAAGCTTTGTTGGATAAACATCAAGAACATAAGGTGAAAACAATGCCTAAGTTTTTTGAGAAATTTATGTGATCTTTTTATAACATATTTTACAAATAGAAAATATTCCAAAATTTGTGTTGCTTGACATAGTTCTTTTTTGGATGTTTGGCATCTAACTTGATTTTTTTTGTATGATACATCATTTTATTAGAATTTCTACAATCTTGAAAATACAAAATATGAACTCATAATGAATACTTATTAATTCTCCTAGATAGAAATTGTATGGTTCAATTATTATTCTTGAATTCAATGCTGTCCTGTATTTAATATTCCCAAGCACACATTCAGTTATCAATTCATATGAGAAATTTTAATATTTTCTATTCCTATTATCTAGTATAAACCAAGTTTTTTCCTATAAATATCATACTCGTAATTGAGTTTTTGAGTAATTTGAGTAATTGATCCAGACATTCCAAAATAATATTTTTTCATTTAAATATTGAGACTTAATTTGTCTTACACCAGACCAGAGCCACTTTCTATATTCCAACATTTCTGTGCAATTTGAAAAATGTTTTCTTTCGGCAAATATAGATCATATAATTCTTACTGTGTGACTGGATAATGTCTTGTTTTGAATGTAAATATGAAACGTCTATACTAGTGTAACGCTTGACTAATCATTTACAATCTTACAATCTGAATTTGAAGTACCAACTTCAAAATCCATTGATGCGGAAAGTAATTGGACCATGAGGAAGGCCTTATTCTTTTCTTTTTATATTCAGCATATTAATGTGAAGAAATAATTACAGTTGAATAGCATGCAACAATGCTTTCGTAAAATATTGATATTCTGATAAAACTGAATCCATTAAATTTGAACCATGCTACATTCTTTGCCGCTCATTATTTTGATACCGATTGGGATTTCGAATCTTTTTTCAGTAGTTACCCTTGCTTCATCAATGCTTCGAAAATACTGAATAGGCCTATCCAATATTCAAATCACTCAAAAACAACTACTTTCGACTCCAGGTTGACAAGAATTTAGACTACATCTATGTTTGAAGAAACTTTGTATCATTTAATTTTAAGCTGCGTTTCCAAGTATTCAATTTCTGTTTTATGACTCCCTAACTTGATTTTTTGAAGTATGGATGTCCGACTGACTCAATACTGAATAGTTTAAATTATCACTACAGCTTCAAGACTTGAAACTGGCAAATTTTTACAACATTCAACATGTTCAAAGACATGTGGCAATAAGTAATTGGGTTAATTATCTCAACCCTGCTTTTGACTAGTCCAAGATCATTGATATGCCTTTATAACCATTATTCTACATAGTTACATACCATGAATTCACGACTCTTCATATTTCTAATATGTAATCATCTTCACCCAGGGTGAAATCGGTGCTCACGAGGACAGTTACAACAGCACTGTTGCTTATGGAGAACGTTTGATTGCAGAAGGTCATCCTGCATCCGTCATTGCTGCAAGAAAAAGGTCAGATTCATCATCCTCATCATCGTCATCTTCATCATCGTCATCTTCTTCTTCATCAGAGGAGGAAGGAGAGATAAAACCTGATCGAAAGTATGATTCATCTTGGACATTCAAGATATTTGCACAATATTGATTTGCTGCATTTTTTTAGTGTGATATACAGGGTTGCCATCAATATGAACCCCAAAATAAGAACATCAGGATATATAATAATAAGATAACAAGGAACGAAATGTAACAGACAAAATGTATTCATGCCAGTGTGGCCTGTATCTAATCATACTTTGCACTAGAAAGGATTTACACGAGCAGTTCTTTATTCTTGAAAACTATCTGTTTCATTTCACTTCTAAGTTCATCTTCACTTACGCCATGAATGCGCGTAGCAATCAATAAGGTTCTGATATCATTTCAAGCAAATCAACCATTCGAATTGACCAATCTACGTGCTTGGTATTAGAACCTCTATCACTAGAATGAAACAAAAATAAGGACACATGTCACCAGCACATGTACAGGGTAATCAAAGATGCAGTAAGGCCTGTGGTTCTAAAAGTGAGCTTTGCGACGCACAAATGCGTTGTTTTAATTTTGCTTGGACGACTCAAAACTCTTTTCCTTTTGTACCTGTTTTGCACTGCTTAAAATATATACTGTACAAGAAATTTTAAGTAGAAGATTCAAGTAGTTTTGGGATTTCTTTCTTGGAAAATCGATGCGCGCTCTCACCCCCTTTGCGACTTTGTATTTATGGGAAGCAGGCTTTTTTACAAAAGTTGTAATTTAAATGAAATATCGATCTCGAGCAAATGTTGAGAGGTAAATGCTTGTGGCTCTCACACAATTCACCTACAAGATTCAATGACATTTGTAAAAAAAGTACACCCATCCCATTGAGTGTGATTTCACTGACTATCGTTATGTTTTGTACGATCGACGATCGTTTAATCTGCAGTAGGCAATTGATTTACAGCTGACAAAATTTGGTTTTCATCAATATTTATATGTTTTTTTTCATTTTCATCAATAAATCGAATAATATCAGGTGATGTATTATGATAATGTCCCTCATATTTACTTATAATAGGACGGCTCTCATTCCAGCAAGATTAGATGAAGTGATTGCAAGAAGAGGTGATTTGATCCGTGTGTGGGAGGAACGTCGATCATTGTATGATCAATGTCTTCATCATGCATTGTATAACCGTGATGCTGAGAATGCAGAAGCATGGCTGACTGCTCAGGTAGAAATAGTATATTGTCTGTTTAAAAAGATGAATGATATAAAATGAGATGTTCTAAACACATTGTATATATTATAAAACATTTATATTCTATATTGATATATTGAGCTTGCAATTTGTGAATGATTTTCAATACTTGTATTTTAGAACTTGTTTTTTCTATGAACAAAATTTGTACGACAAAACTGATGAAATTTTATAGTACATTCTGATATTGTACTTTTCAGAAAAATTAAACAAAAGTCTGTTTTAGTTCAGTGGGGATAATGGACGATTCGACTTCGCTATGTTGGCATTGCACGTTAATATTGGCTTGCAATCCAACCTCACCCATGATATAATAATTAAGATTGTCAAGACCGAACTGGTTACACTTATACAGAGCCTTGTTTGGAGTGGAAGGCATGTTAAAATATACTGTCTTGTAAAAAATATACAACTGTTTTGAGTCGTATACCTATGTTTAACTTCATCAGAATCCGGTATATATTTTCATTTTACAGGAAGCTCTTCTAACAGAACAAGATCTTGGCGATTCACTGGATTCAGTTCAAGCTTTGTTGAGAAAACATGATGACATGATCAAATCAGCTGCTGCTCAGGAAGAAAGATTGTTGCTGTTGATGAACATGCAACTAAGCTTGTTGAAGCTGGTCACTATGCTTCACAAGATATTGGAACTCGAAGAGATGCTGTAAGTGATGCACTCATTTATTTTATGCCTATATTACAAGATTTGAAAGAATATGGCCAGAATAGCCTCATGGAAACTTATAAGAAGTCACTCAAAAGTGAGAAATATGAATCTAAAAGTAAAAGGGGTTGTTCGTTTCTGTGAAAACCTTTTACAGGATGTTTGGAATCGCAGTGCAATTGGCTAGAAATAATTCGATGATGTGTTTAGGTTTGGGATAAATAACAAACTTAAGACAAATACTTGAAATAAGCATAGAAAATAGGGTACTCCCGAAGTATGCGCACCAAGATGTTGCACAACCTGAACCCTGACCTGGTACAGCACCTGAGTTCAGGTTGTGCGCCATCTTGGTGCGCATACTTCAGAAGGTCCGAAAATAGTACTTGTCACCAAATTTTGTGTAAAGGTATTTAAAAAAAAATCAAATTCTTGAATTGGTTGTAAGCTATAACTGAAACATTTCAATTTTTAAGAACATTTAGAATGTTGTTGTTTTATAAAGTATCTTTAGTTGATTTCAAACATGGGAATTTTGAATTTAATGAATTAGAAGAGGGGACAATTAAATTGGGGCAAAAAGTTTTCAAATTAAATTTTAAGAACAAACTTTCACTGTTTACTGTGGTTGTTCGAGAAGTCATATTCTATATACAAATTGACTGAAATATTTAGTTTGGATAGCTTTCAGGACGTTACGTAAGATTATTATTAATAACTCTTTTCGAATCATTATTATAAATAATAATTTAAAATGAAATCAATTTCTTCAATATTTCTAATTTTTCAGATTCTGGCTAGACACGAAGTGTTGAAACGACTGATTGAGGCGAGACAAACTGCTTTATCTGATTCCAACAAGCTACAATCGTTTCAACGCGATGTTCGTAACATCAAATCATGGATCGCTGATAAAAGCAAAATTGCTACTGATGAAGCTCATAAGGTGAGAAGAAATGATTTAATTAGAAGCTGTAATGAATAACAAATTAATTAAATATAAAAAAAAGTTGAAATAATGAATTTTTCACATTTTAATTTCTCTTCATTGTTTTTAGCGTGTTTCTATCAGAGATCAAAAAATAAATAAATATTCGAATGCACTCTGAATTCTTCTATTAAATAAATTTTTTATGAATGATTAACAAAGATAAAATACGTAAACATTGCAATAAATTGATTTGAAACACTTGTAACCACAATTATAACCGAAAAGCCATATTTTCCTCTGCATATTTGTAAACATGTACATTGATTTGTACAATAGGCATTACTTCAGCAGCTGTATTGTGAATAACCTTATGTTTATATATAAATTATGTGCTTTATTGGAATCTTATTCAATTATATTTAAAAGAACTTCTTTAATTGATTTCTCTTCAGTAGAGAAGGTGAATTATGTATATATATTTGAACATAGAAGGGAAGTTTTGAAGTGATAATATTTCTGATAAAATTAAGTTATCAAGAATAATAATTTCTAGGATGCAACTAATCTGGAAGGCAAATTGGAACGTCATAGAGTTTTTGAAGCTGAAATATTGGCGAATGAAGGACGAGTTTTGAGATGTTGTGAAGACGGAAAACAACTGGTGAATGATGGTCACTATGCTTCTGAACAAATTGAAAAGGACGCTGATTTAGTAGAAGAAGAATGGAAAGAACTTCTTGCTCAATGCAAAAATCGAGGTTTGTTGGGATTTTAAGACAAATGCATTGTAGATTGTGTGACTCGTTCTTTTTTCCATGTTTCTGGTACCTGTCATTTGGTGTATGACCTTGATCACCAGAATTCATGTACTTAAAGACGCCATGCTATTACTTCCAAAATCTTAATAAAACACTCATTATACTTTATTAAACAAGTATTGGATATATCATATATATTTTAGAGCATATTTATTTCAGAGCAGTGCTTCCCAACTGTTTTCAGTTCGCAGTTCGCGACCCACTTTTATTGCCATTTTTTGGATATTGTTTTGACGCTGTTAACAGTTCGATTCCATTTTGTTAAGGTGAACTATTGGAAGCTGCATGTGCAGAACAAACATTCAATAGATCAGTAGCTGATTTACATCGTTGGATGGATGATGTTGACGTACAATTATCATCTGAAGATCTGGGAAAAGACGTCGATTCTGTGGAAAATTTAATGAAACGTCATCAATTGTTGGAAGCTGATATTGCTGTTCATAAGGTTTGCTATTTCAAAGGTTTTAAACACAGTGTTCATATTCATTCTGTGTAAAATAGGGTTTATCAATTTTTATGGTGGTGTTATTTTTTTCACACTTTCTAAACCTATGATTTTTATGCTTCCGTTGTCATCATAAGGTAATATTGTTCACAAGTTTCAAAGGTTCATAACACTCCTACTATATTCTGCTTCCAATAATTTTTCCATTTTTCTGGTGTATAATTCAATTATCAAACTATAGTACAATTATACTTTTGGTGTCAAGACAAAGTAGGAGTAACAAACTTATGTCATGATATTCGATGAAGAATTAGTTTCCAATTCCATTTTTTTTTTTAATAAAATATCTTCGCAGGATGGAGTTGATGGTATAGAATTACAAGCAAATAAATTTGTGGATGAAGATCATTTCAATGCTGATTCTATCAAAGAAAAACAAGAGGATGTTTCTAAGAGATACAAGAATTTGGAGGTAACGTGAACCTAGAATCTAATTAGATAGTTCTATATAGCAAAAGTAAGCGACAGTTCGAAAATTTTGTATAAAATTGAAATCAAAGAAGTAATGGTGCGACGGTGTGGCGCATCATGCTAAGCGTTGGGAATACACTTACCACCGCACTTCTGCTTATACTGCGCGAGTTTGCAGGTTTGAATCCAATGCGGGGATCGTTATGTGCAAGAGGATTACTGAACTCCTTCCCACTGTAGGGTGGTTCATGTAATTGCTGGTCGGTTACGGCTTCCCCCACCATGAAGTCCTGTAATTGCTGGTCGGTTACGGCTTCCCCCACCATGAAGTCATGTAATTGCTGGTCGGTTACGGCTTCCCCCACCATGAAGTCCTGTAATTGCTGGTCGGTTACGGCTTCCCCCACCATGAAGTCCTGTAATTGCTGGTCGGTTACGGCTTCCCCCACCATGAAGTCATGTAATAGCTGGTCAGTTGCGGCTTCCCCCACCATGAAGTCCTGTAATTGCTGGTCGGTTACGGCTTCCCCCACCATGAAGTCCATGCTTCTGACTAACCCCATACCCGACATGGTAACCGACCGAAAGGCTGTGGTTTGCCATATGATTAAGCTGTATTATCGACTTTTCTCTCTCCGAAATAAAAAATTTAAATCTTATCCTAATTATATTTCTTTGTTCAGGAACCTTTGGTGAAAAAGAAGGAAAAGTTAGGAGAGTCATCCGTGGGAAAACAACTTTTTCGAGATATTCAGGATGAGATGGAATGGATTCAAGATAAACGACCACTGGTTACTGCTACCAGCTTAGGTTAGATTTTTTTCGTGAACTTCAATGGAATACTAAGTTAAATGATGTTACTGGTTATTCCATAAATTGGCTGTTTATGCAGCAAAATCATGATATGTGCTAAATTTACTGCATTATATTTGATATTTGGATATTAAGAAAAAAATTGCCTGCAAATTGTTATGTACATATCTATAATAAACTTGCAGGACTTTAATAACTAAGTCACTCGTTAAAGAAGGAACCAGACCTATAAATTCCAACGATCTCAATTTTTATAAAAGATTTTTTTTTAATTAATGGCAAACATTTTTTTGCTATTTTTTCTAAAATTATGAACCAAATTGCTTTGAACTGGTTGAATTATTCTTTTATTTTTATTTATATAAATTCAGGAAAAGATTTGATGAGTACACATAACCTTGTGAAGAAGCATTCTGCATTGCAATCTGAACTTGCTGCTCATGAACCAAGAATTCAGGCTGTTTCTGATCAAGCTGAAAAATTAGTGGAAGAAGGTAGGATTTAGTATTTACAAATTCATCTATTATGAAGTCCATGCATCAGAAACAAGACACTGGCTAACTAATTTCATACCTGACATGGACTGGTAAACAAACGAGAGGACATGGTTCTCTATATGATTTAAGCAGTCTTATCGACTTTCCCCTCCCCTGGGATAAATATGTAAAATTTTATGCTATTCTGAATAACAGACAAAGTTACATTAACAGTCAATTTTGGCCTTCTTTCATTTTTCAGGTCATTTTGAAGCAGAAACAATTGATGCTAAACTACATGCTCTCAAGCAAGCGTGGAAGGAATTGAAAGATGCTGCAGAGGAACGGAAAAATGATTTGGAGGATGCTTTCGAGGCCCAACGATATCTTGCAGATGCCAACGAAGCACAAAGCTGGATGGAGGTGACTTATATTTTCCGAAATATCACTTGTCTTTACAATTTTTTTAATTGGTTCGGTAATCCATTACTAGCTGACTATGTATAGGCCAACAAAAATTATTGCTGAGGAATTGCAGGAAAAATGACAATGTATCACTTTGGATAGAGACTCATTTCGTAAATTAGGAAAGGTTTGGTTATTTTAGTTGAATTTATTGACATTTATTGACAAACTGGAAGCCTGAATTTTTCTTTCTAATTTCTTAGCATTCAGAGCCAAGATAAAAGGCGCAGGTGTTCTGGGGCAAAAAAGTAGAGAAACGCTGTGCTAGAGCCTTATTCAATATAGTGATATATTAGAATTTGCATTTTAAGGATAAAGTTCAAGTAATAAATATTTATCTGTTTGATACACCACACTCCCAACCATTTTGTAACCTGACAAGTATAGTCCCTTGCTCCCTTTTCCGGGATAGATTATATACCAATCTTAATATTTCTTTTCTTACATTTGCTTTTTCATCTTCATAAAGGAGAAAGAAACCATTATTAGATCAACTGACACTGGTGCTGATGAAGATTCTGCTGATTCTCTTCTGAAGAAACACGAAACTATCATGTGTGATGTAGAAGCTTATTCCACCATAATATCGGGTCTACATGACCAAGCAATTGCATGCAAGGTTTGAGTTCATTTTTGTTACTAGTAAAAGAATATCAACCACACCTCAATTTTTTTTTCTGGTATTTGACTACTAAATTACACTACCGAGAAGTGTACATGTCCAGTGCATTCACATGGTTTGTTTAGTTCAAAATTCTAATGAGAGAGCAGCCCACAAATATGGGGTACTCTCATAGTATATGTACCAAGTTTGGGTTAGGCCACAATTTTATTCCGATTTTTCTCATTTTAGTTCTATTACAAGTTTGGGGACTGTTTGTGTTAGCCATGTGAATATTCCCCCTGCCCATAGGTTTCAGTCCCTTTATACAACTGATGTAAAGTAGGCGAACAAAATTAGTTATCTCCATATTGGTGCATATGTGCATATGCATTTACCAAAAATAATGTTCATCCATTAGTTATTGTATACTCTGTCAGCTCTGTCAGCATAAAATCCATACGAAAATTGATGATATATTAGTGGGAGAAGTTTGAGAAATTATATAACAAATGAAATAGCTTTTTGAAAGATCTTCAAAATCTGGTCTAGCAGTTAAAAAGAGAAATTTTCAGTTTTGCCCATTTCAATGCATCTACTTTATTGGATTCATTGAATTGTTGATTAAAGTAAATTCCCTTTTCAATTCTGTTAATTTTTTCCTTTTTTTTCTAACTTTCACAAAAAAGCTTCAAAATCCCTGGGCTAGTGAAGATAAAGTTGAACGTGTCGTTGCTTTGCAAAATTATCAAGCAAAGTCTCCAAGAGAAATATCAATGAAGAAGGGCGACATCTTGACTCTTCTTTCTACTCATAACAAAGTAGGTGTTTTTTGATATTTTGTATTTCTGCTAGTTTTGTACTGTATTTAGCAAAGTACACTAGGTAAATTTGGTATTCTTTAGGTACATAAAAACTTTACGCTAGATAATGTTGAGGTATTACTTGCATCCGGTCTTACATAATAGTACTGTGGAGTTCGGAATTCAAGCTGGGGTTTGGTGTGGAGTCAAGTGTCTAGCGCAGTGGTTCCCAACTTTTTATTGCTTGTGGCCCCCTTCCAGAGGCTTTCGGCACTCATGGCCACCCTGTTTATCATTCCAGTGGTAATTATAATGTTATTTTGATTGGTAGATTTCAAATCCCATTATGTTCGAACAATTCACGCTCAACAAAATGAAAGCACCCTTTCAAATAACCTTATCAAGCAATGGAACTAGGAAGAGCGGGGTATTCTTGTATAGGGAAATTTATTTTTATTAACAAACTTTCTGTTGTCCAAAGTTTGAAATCCCAGAATTGATGGCAAAGGTGGAAATGAATATATTTTTAACCCAAAATTTTGGGTCAGGCTAGAAATTTTTACAGCCCAATTGATCTTTTTGTATAACGCATGGTATTTTAATGCTTTACTTCTGGTTACATACATATGCATTGGTACAATGCGTATGGATGGGCAGTTTACAAAAACCTAATTTATATATTTTTTTAGCTTCCTAATTATTGCATTTAATTGAATATTTCTACTCGCAGTTACGTGTTTCTGTCTCTAGTGAGATCCAGGTAACATAAGTCAGTATGCAGCATGCATTCACTTTCAATGCATTTTTCAAATACATCAAACATTACAACGACACAAAATATAATTTTTTTTCACAAAATAATCAATGTAATTATCAATATTATGCACTTTTTTTTAGCCTTGTAAATATAGTATATGATAAGGAATGTTTTCAAAGCTTCAAAGCTCATTTTATCTTAACTTTGCTAAAAGGTTTTATGGTCTCTGGAAGCATGCTTTCCAAGGCTATAACCAGTCCCTAAAGTTGTGACTTCTGAATTCTAAAATTTCAAAAATAAATTAATTTGTTAAATGTGATTTCACAAGAAATATATTTTTATTATCATTGCCCTTTTCCTTTTTTTTAGTACTTTTATATACAGTTACGTCGTTACATTTCATTACAACATTTTCCATATATTCCATGTATACGGTATATTTCCAACTTATTTTTCATATCATAATTGGCTGCACAAAACAATCGTTGTTATTGATGAAGCTTTTAAAAATTTCATAAATAATTAGTGATGCTGGGAATGGAAATGGAAATGGAATGGAAAATACTTTCTGTAAATACATTTAAATTGCGAGTAAAAGGAAACTAAACCAAACCTTTCACGTTGGAATGTTCGAGAAGTTTGGCACTCTCAAATGAAGCCTGAATGTTCATTTCGATTTTGAATACTGTAATATGGATCAAATGTATTTTGTAGTTGAAATTATGAAGTATTATAGTAACCAGCATTTTTACGAAACAAAATTGCAAAAAGACAAGTACGAATATATGAACAATTAATTATTCAATCATTAGAAGCACATTTCTAATAGCTCCTATCTCTCAATCTTATTTCATCTCAAAATTTTACTATTCTATGCAGATATCATTATCGTTTTCTCTATTCAAGTTTAAATATCGATATCCCAATCATTTTTTCACTTTCTCCATATTCATTCACGTAAAAGTTATAGGAAGTTGATATAGTTTGGGAATTTTGGACCTTCGTAATTCTGTGAATCACTATATGGAGGTCTTATTATTTGCACTATGGTGGATATGCTTAGATATTCTGTGGTAAAAAAGTTAAGTTACACAAAACAAAATGTAATTTTGTACATGTTATCTTTTCACAACACAGCGATGTTCTGTGCTTTATTATAAAATGCACAATAATTGAAACTTGGTAATATATTGAATTTTTTAATACCCTAAAATTTTCTGTATAATATTTTAAAGAGTTTCCAATTCATTTTAACTCCAATTGTTTTGAACTTTGTATCTGTGAAAGAAAAGTCTACTTTTGAATAAAAAGCGCAATATTCTTTTGAATTAGTATGATGGAAAGCAGTGTCTGTTCTGACGAGGACTGTGGGTGACATCACCAGCTAAATTACCTATTTGGATTTATCACAATTGCTCTTTTCACAAAGTAAATTTCATTCGAATAGGGATTGTATAATATCAGACTATTTTGACATGGACAATTATTCTTACAATTACAAAACCTTATTAAGTGGTAGTCTAATCACAGGTAAAAAATATATCAATTGCCTTCAAAGCTTACAGTTTTAGAATTTTTGAGAATGAGAATAACAATCATTTTCTGTTATACATTAGGATTGGTGGAAAGTGGAAGGTGTAGACAGACAAGGTTTTGTACCATCATCTGCTGTTAAATTATTGGATTCAGAAAAAGATTCAAAACAACGTCATTCATCATCTAGTTCTTCTAGCAGTGAAAGCGACCAGGATGACGATAAGAAAAATGAAGAAGAAACAGACGGAGCTAAAGAAACTTCTGGACATCCAAGCACAATTAAGAAACGTCAAGAACAGATTGAAGAACAGTAAGTTTTTTACAAATTTCTGTAAAAATCTTGATACTGGTTTTCAAAAATTTTACGAAGTTTTTTCATGTTTTTGATGTAGTGCTCAACAAGAGAATTATTGGAATTACCATACTTTCGTTTGCATTTTTTTTGGTTAAACAATTTGACTTTAATTTTGACCTTCCTAAAGCTTCTGTATCATCCAATATGGAATGTGTGTTTGCATATTGTAATAAATCCTCACCTGTGTATAACTCACTTAATTATAGTATGCCCAATGCCCACACTTGTATTCTATTGAATCATAGAAATTAAATCGCATCATATGAAAATCACTTCAGGTACGAACGACTCAAAGCCGATGGAAAAAATCGAAAAGAAGCTTTAGAGAGGTCATGCCGTAGACACGCACTTTTGAGAGAATGTGATGAGTTGCAGAAATGGATGGAAGAAAAACGAGCAGAGGCTGCAAAGCAAGAGAAGGAATCGTTGGAGGATGTCGATGGACAACAACAGGAGGATGACGATGGTGGACTAGAAATGGTGGAAAAACAACAAAAGAAATTGGATGATTTTCAGAAGGTTAGAACAATTGGTTGATTTCAATAGAGAGTGCCTGATTACTGTTGCTTTTTGTCTGCTTTTGTTATGATGGACCTGTATGCAGTGAGAGCAAGCAAGCAAGGATCAAAAATCCATATTAAGTGAATCAAAGTTTATTTTTTTTTACTACTCAGTATTGGTTGGAACTCAGTATATCAAAGTTTGTCTGTTTGTCATTATATACCATTTATAATTTTTTTCATTCTTTTGTACAGGAATTGAAAGCGAAAGAGAAAAGAATGGAAGAACTGAATGCAGAAGCTCGTCAATTAGAACAAGATAGTTCTTCATCTTCTGAAGATGAGGATGAAAGTAATGATCCTGATAAAATTGTCGCTACAAAAGTCAAGGTTTGTATACAATGAATTATTGTTCAATAATTACAAAGTCAAATTTGTGATTATATTTTCTTTTTTGGTATTAAAATTCATCAAGCAGAAACTAGCTCCTATGATAATGTACTCATTCAATCCATAAATAACTGCATTTCTTTTATTTTGTTCAAATATTTGACAAAAACAATGAAAATATTTTGTTAACATATCTGTATTATCAACCATTTTAATTTGCATTATTTTTTTCTTCAATTTTTTTTTGTTGCACCAGAACTAACTTTTAAATTCTTCATTGTAGATTATTTTTAGTTGCATTATTTGCATTCATTCTTTTCAACTTGATTATTTAACCTTATTACCAAGTATTACGTTTATAGTCAAGTCCCTGTTTGCAATAAATAACTTAGGGATCGTAAAGCATCATTTTGACAAGGTAAAGCAGCATTTCAAGAAGATTAATTATTTTTTTAAGTTAAGTAGTTGTGCTTGATCTGTAATCTTTCAAATTTGAAGTCTTTCACATTCGTAGTCCTTCCAATTTTTTATATGTGTCATTTTTGCACCTGCATTGGTCTCCAGCTTTGCCTGCCCAGTTTTTTACATCTTGGATGAGGTGATGTGCATCAGACTTAAACCGAAAATGCCAGCGTCGAACCCAGTGGTTCTCAAACAGTGGGGCGCGCCCCACAAAGTGGGCATGGGAGATTTTTTGAGGGGACATGAAGCTAATTGAAAATAAAAATATTTTTTGGATTAGATCTTGCCTGCTTTGTTTGGATATTTTCATTTCTTTATTTTAGATATTTATGTTCCATCCATATATTTTCACTGTGTTTTTTAAAGTCTTACTATTTGGTATTTGTAACTAATTGTTAGCTAGATATTTTTGAAGTGGGGCGTGACACTTGACAAATTCTAAAAAGAGGGCGTGGCTTAAAAAGTTTGGGAACCACTGGTCTACCCACCATTGTCAAACGTTCTTTAAATATTATTAACTAAAACTGAGTATCATTTTATAAACCACATAGGCCTATATTAATCTGTGGATGACATTTTTTTCAAAAATTTCTTTTCTGTTATAGCATAGCATTTTTATCAACCAATTTGTAGTATTAATAATGTAGCTATAGTTGATTAACTCTAGTGGTTATTGTATTTAATTCTCATTTGAAGGGATTGCATTCAGCTAGATCTGGACTACAGGTTTGTAATATTGTTGCTTGGTATAACATGGCACATTGTAATCGATGAGTTGTCAGAAAACCATATGCATGTGAATATGACTCAAATGTTGCTTGATAATACCATAGGTCAGGGCTACTCAACTGGATGACCGCGGTCCGACCTGGACTTTTCGAGTATTGCTGCTTTATTTTGGAGCATTGGTCTAATCAAGTTTGTGTTCAAAGGATTTTATTAAATAACTTTGATTTATAGTTTTGGAGGATTTTTATTATCATTTTCTCATATCTGCACTTGCTATATACAAAATGAACTGAAGCCGCAATTAATAATATATCAATAATAAAATGCGCGATAAGGAATCTTTTGCGGTTTGAATTTTTCACGGCATCTCAGTATTCCACGAATCTTTAACCTTAAAGTTAAAGACATTGAAATATATATCTAGGCGCAATATATTTACTGGACCCCAGTAATTTTTCAGTTTTGTGTACGGACCATTGATAAAAATAGTTGAGTAGTCCTGCCATATGCTAATAACAAAGTCTACAGGAAAGTGATACTACCGCTGGTCTTTTTGTCTTCTGTGCCAAATTTTATTGCCTTTTTAACATGGTTTGCTATTAAAACTAAGTAAGATCTTCTTTGAATAACTTGCTATGTGTCGGAGGATTCTGCTTTATAATTTGATTTGTTAATAATATCCCATCGTTTGGTTTAAATCAGAAAATCCTGTATAAAAATTCATGTTTTTGTTGAAAAAAATTCCAAAATTCATTTATACAGTACAGTCATCATTTGGCATTCTCAGGAATTTTTTTTTTAACATGTTCAATTTCTTCGCTGCTTTACCGAATGTATTTCTGCTGTGTTATGAATTCGAGCAATAATCCTGTATCATTACATCATTACATTGCTCTGCATGCAAACTTTTCATATTGACATTGTTACGCGTCATTAATAACAAGCTGAATGTATGGATATTGCAAACTGCAACCATCGTGAATATTTGTAATTATTATTTATTTACATCATTCAACAAGGAAAAAGATATTGTTGTAATATCCTCAACCATATTGAAATAGCATGACAGGTTAAGGAAATTTCAATGAATCTTAATCTCTAGTCGAATTTAAGGATTTTAAGGAGCAATTTTGCAGAAAACTCAATAATTATACCAAATTTTCCAATGTTTGACTTAGACATTACTTATTCAGATATATCGAACTTTTGTAAAATGTCTTTTTGTTATTATTTCTGCTAACATGGGATAGGAAGTGAGTAGTACAACCAATGTACACTCCAGATGGAAGGTAAGAAAAAAAGAGATGCAAGAAAATTAAACAACCATTTATAATTGTTGCACAGGGTGATTAGACCAGGTGTAGACAAATGTTTATTAAAATATCTACAACATAAATGTACAAGAGAAAAAAATTATTTTGCAGAAAATAGCATTATAAAGATAAATGATAGAATTCATTGGTATTTTTCGATATATCTTTCCTTTGCCTTCACTACTCTCCTTGATCTGTTTGAAACTTGACTGCACAGGGCACGTATGGTTTCTTCTGAAATTTTGTCCCAACAAGTCCTCAATCTATGCTTTAGAGCAGTTGTTCTCAACCTGAGGTACGCACACCACTAATGGTACGCAAGCAGCTTTAAATTATTGCAACAATTACCGTAACTTTTGTATTTGCTGAACAGCGTTTATAGCTTTAGAGTTCGCCCTCGTCCGTTACAGTCCACCAAAACCGTAATAGTCATGTTTTCTTCGTTTTGCCTTTTACGTCACAATGCGTCTGCATTAATAAATCGGCGAATAAGTGAGCGTTCGTGATAGCGACTGGCACTGATCAATGTGTAGGCTATTCGTCCAAGGTTTCGGATAATTTAGTGGTTATGATAAGATGTATTGTGAAGTAATGCACAAAATAGCAAAAACATGCCCGTTTCGTTTTATGTGTTGTTGGGACAAAATTGCGGAAGAAAACTTTCGTGCCTCGTGCTGTCAAGTTTCAATCAGATCGAGGCGTGTTTTGAAGGCGAAGGGAGAATATTTCGAAAAATAATCATGAATTCTATTATTTATCTTTATACTGCTATTTTCTGCAAAATATTTTTTTTCTTACATTTATATCGTAAATATTTTAATAAACATTTGGCTACACCTGGTCTGATCACCCTGTTCTTGATGTAGAAATGTTTGCCAAATAATATATAAATAAAGGGAATTGGTTGGTCCATATCACACATGTGATTTTATAATTTTGGCAAGTCTTCCATTGCATCCATAAGTGTTAACGACCATCAGTTGCTAGTGATTTTATCATTTAAATGTTTGCTGTATTATCTACAGTTTTCATTATCCTAGTCCGTGTTCTATGCAAACAAAAAGGCAGGTATAATGAGTTCGGAATTCTATGTTGAAATAATGACTATGGCTGGCCCTGATTTAAGTGGATCGATCCATTTCAATTATTAACTTCATTTTAGCTCCCGAAATATAACTGACCAAGTTTACTTATGAGTAACTTATTTAACTTCTAAAGACCTGGAATAAGTATTCAATACAAAATATTTTGTCTGTGATGATTGTGTGTAAATACCTCTCTTAACATTTATTGTAACGTTGTTCACAACATATCTTTTACAAATTTTAATGCATTTCTGAAGACAACAAAAACAGTGGTATGTGTAACAAGACGATTGATATTTATCAAGGTATTGTTATAATAAAAAATCATTTCTTAAATTTGTGTGATATGCATCAGACTTATATTTATGTTCTGCCAATATGCACTTTTACTTTCCTGTATTTTTAAATGATTTTTTTTTTTGAATAATTTTTTATTTTTTTTACTATTACTATATTCAACAGTTAAAAATTAAATGATATCCTGGAATGTCCAGTATCATAAAATTGTATATAAAAATACTTTTTCTGTATGATAAAATTTGAATAGACTTGAATTAATATCTGCAACAGGATCAAACATTTTTAGGTCCTATGCATTAATGCACTAGGTCAGCTGTTATGCTCGCAAGAAGCAAAATTTGCTTTATATGGCTGATATCATTGAACAGGGGAGCTTGTTTGTATAGTTTTTAATATCTAGCATGAATGCACTTGCAGCACTGATATTGTACATAAGAATTCCTTTTGAGCATAATAGTCTTCTGTTGGTGATTTTTATGCATTTTACAGAATGAAGGAACTTTGTCCATAATCTACCGATAACAAAATTGTCCCCAAAATTGCGTATTTTCTAAAAAATAAACATCTTGCACAGTGTAATTATTATATATGTTGGATTCTATGAAATGCAGTTTATAAAACTTGATATTTTAAAATTAAATTGACTTATCACCATGATGAAATAGCTGGAATATTCGGTTGTATACATAATACCAACATTAGTAGCCCAGCCCATTGTCTCAAAGTAGGCATTGTTCTAACATAGCTAGGATAATTTCACCCATGTAGAATTTCCTCCATGGAATAGCATCAACCTTTTTTTCATCATTGGCTCTTTTGGAGTGATTTTTCTAGTTGCATCTTTTAAAACACTGTTTTAGAATTATATACAGTGGTGACATTCCTGAAATAGGCAGCCGTCCTATTAAGTGTCTAACTGAAGGATATTAATTGAAGCTCTACATCGTTTCAAAAATTCTTTCCTGATTTGCATGATTGCTTTCAGGACTTGAATGAACAATGGGCTGCACTGCATGATCTAGTTACCCAGAGAAATGAAAGCCTGGGATCAGCTCATCAGGTTCAAAGATTTTTCAGGTGAGTGTAGTAGCTCTGAAAATTTCTACAATTTCATATGAGGATTGCTTGAAATGTTTAGTCAAACAAAAATTTTAGTATATTTGTATACTATAATACTAAAGAAGTGGGATGGGATGAGCTTTACAGTAAATTGTGAGAGGACGTAACCGACCATTGAAAGGTTCTGTGAACCATCGTGTGATGATGAAAAGTATAACATATCTGCACTTTCCACATATTTCTACATTCCTTATTATGTATTGGAAATGTGAAAAATTTAAAAATTGTCAAATTTCTTCAGAGATGCTGATGAGACAAAGGAATGGATCGATGAAAAAAGTCAGGCATTGGATAATGATAATCTTGGAACTGATTTACCTACTGTGCAGGTCAGTAAAACTGTATTAAATTATGGAAGTTTTATAATCAATCAGGAATATTGTTCAATAAACATCTCTATTATTGGACAAAATGTCATCAGGGAAATTAATATTAGTTTTCTCTTAAGGGGGCATTGCATATTGGCTACTATTAACTAATTTTTGGTTTTGTTCATGATTTTTTTGTGTTTTATAATAAAGCTGAAATATTCGAAGGTATTTATTATGTGTCTGCAAGTAGTTTTTTTCAATAATAAGTTTACTCCGAATTTTTTTTTTTTCTGCATACTTGTCAAATCAAACGATCAAAATTTTTGTATTGTTTTGTCATTTCTAATAAATTTAACAACTATTTTCCTAATTTTTTTAGGCTCTTCAACGTAAACATGATGGTTTGGAACGTGATCTTGCTGCACTTGGAGACAGAGTACATTCTCTGGATACGGATGCTTCACGGTTGGTCGAGCAACATCCCGACCAGATGGAACCGATTCAGAGCAAACGCAGCGAAATCAATCAAGCGTGGAATGATCTTATCTCAAAAGCAGATAAACGAAAACATGCCCTGTCTGATTCTTATGATCTGCAACGGTTCTTGGCTGACCGAAGAGAATTACAGCGATGGTTGCGTCATATGCATGTACTTGTGTCATCAGATGAAGTTGCAGATGACATGGCTGCTGCTGAAGCTTTGCTGGAAAGACACCAAGTATGTTGTTGGTACTTAAGGAATTAATTTTATGTGACTTTGTGGGTTTTGATCCAGTGGGAGAAGGGCTCTGTCATCATAAAGAAAGAGGCCCTGTTTGCCATATGATTATGTCAGCACTAAGAAAATTCCCTTCATGGAATATTTCAGCCAGACAAAATTCGACCCAAAATTTCATTAAGAACCTTCTTTGGGAGGTATATTTTTGAACATTGGTTATGTCCACTTTGCTATTTTTTCCCCGACTTATATAATTAATTATAATCTGTGGCTTTTTCAATCATTCTATATAAAATATTTTCAATTGCAAAAAAAAATGGCATGATAGTGGAAGCCAAAATAAATTTAATACAAGCATCAACATGCATCCTTTGAAGACAGAAAATTCGTGGCTATTTGCATAACTTAATAAGTTGTCTCAATCTTATCTGATTTTTGTAGGAACATAGAGCTGAAATGGACGCCAGAGCACCAGCATTCCATGCACTTGAACGTCAGGCAGATGCGTTAGTTCGAGCTGAACATTATGCAGCGAAAGATGTTGATGCTGCAGTACAAGAGACATCAAGAGATAGAGAGGAATTGGAAAAGTGAGTTTACTGATGAATGATTACAAATACAAATAATGATTTCAGCAATCTAAAACACTCAGAAATAGCAAAAATCATACAATAGTGCTCCAGTCTAGTTTATTTTTCGTGTCCAGCGAATTTCAACAGGAACAAAACATGAAATAATATTTATGAAATGACAAGAGGTATAATATGTGATTAGAGAAAGGGTAATCTTGTTTTTGAAGGGTCTAGTAGCATTTGAAAAGCTTATTTTTCATAATTTTATCTGTAATAATACAATATATCTAAATGAAATTTGTTTCTTTCCAAATTATTTGAGCTCTGATTCTTTGGATTTATTCACACAAAATATAGGGTGTTCAAGGATATTTATCGATACCATAATTATTTTGGCCCTCACAGATGTATGAAATGATACAAAAATACTTGAACAATTACTGAATAAAAAACAACAAACCTGGTTAAGATATATTGAGAACTGATTTCATAACAAAATTGCAATTGTAAAGGGATTTTATGGACACCCTGTATGTTTCACTCTCTTCATTTTAGAGTCTTACTATTATGAACTCTAAAAAAAATTTCCATGATATTACAGAGCATGGGCTGCTCGTCGTATTTTACTGGAACAATGTTCACAGTTCCATTCCTTCTTGCGAGATTGTGACAATGCTGAAAATTGGATGCAAGCTAGAGAAGCTTTCCTGGCCAGTGAGGAAGCAGGTACGATAATATATTTTATATTTTTAAATCATTGCCCAATTGTTTTGTCAAAATGAAAGCCTTTCCAATAACTTGGTTCTGTTCTGTGGCCAAGTGGCTGTTCATAACAACAGAGTGACTCTAGTATTTTCAATGAAATTATTCGTACTCACTAACCGCCAGTGAGACTTAGCTCTGTGATTTGACTTCATACTCAAACTTGACTCGTGATTGGGATGACCAACACTGCATACAATTATTCATCTGTTTTATAACTTTAATCAATAAGTTCCGTTTTCTTCAAAATTTGCAGTGACATTCTCTTTTTTAGCTGGTGCTGCCTGCAATAAATAAGTTGATATATCATTAGAAAAATCAATATTTTACTATTTCGAATACATTTTAAGAAAATATTTTCAAATAGGAAATATCGTAAACATAGAGACGAAGATATTAAAGGTCATTGTTTTCTCGTTTCTGATAGCTCAAAGTCCCTAATTTTTAAACAAAAATATTTTGAATTATTCCTAAATTCAAAAATTTACTATATCAAATATAATCAATTTTGAATGTTTTCGATTTGTTTTGGACATATCTGGTATCAGACAATGCAATTCAGTGTGAAAGTTTCTTCCGATAGTGGTCTGTCCACAGATTAACTTTACTCAAAAGCGTAATAGATTGCATTGCTCTTCTTAATGAATATTCTTATGTAATAAATAAACCATCATCAAAATTTCCAAATTATCATTTCAAGGAGATTCCTTAGATTCTGTGGAATCTCTCATAAAGAAACATGAAGATTTTGATCGAGCTATCGGACTACAAGAAGAAAAGATGAAATCTCTTCAAGGTTCTGCTGAAAAGCTACAAGAACAAGATCCTCCACATTATGCTAACGATGCAATCAAACAAAAAGCAGATGAAGTGCAGGATAGGTAACTTTCGTTGTCCTGTTAGAGATTTTTCAACTAAAATAAAATTACTGAATTTTAGAATTCCACTGATATTATGGATTTTAATATGCGAGTTGATATATTATGTAATAGAACAATGTACAGATTTTTCCAGTATCCTCACTCCGGAATGACCAATTATTATGGGTCCTGAACCTGGATTGCTTAGATGTGAACTGACCTGTTCTATTAGTTATTTTCCTGTTTCACGTTGACCTTGAGAGATTATGACCTTGTTTTAAACAAACAAGCGTAAAAAGCAAACAGCTATAGTCTGATTTTTCTAAATTCTTTCAATGTTGTAATTTATAATTAAATTTTACATTCTAGTTTTGTAAATGAACAGCAACTTTGTTATTCTCAGATGGCAAAAATTGAAGGCTGCTCTTATTGAGAAGAGATCACGTCTCGGAGAAACCCAAACCTTACAACAATTCAGTAGAGATGCTGATGAGTTGGAAGCATGGATGGCTGAAAAATTACAAACGGCCACAGATGATAGTTACAAAGATCCAACCAATATACAGGTATAGTAATAGTGATCAGGGTCTTCTGTTATAAAATCCAAATATTGACTAAACAATGTGTGAGAATTTCAGTGAAATATTTTTATTTTCCAGTAATTAAAATTCTTTGTTGTTTTAATGAGTCAATTTGGATTTCAAAGTAATAAATCATTTTCAAGTGTGACTGTTACTAATCTATTGTGTTTTTTTGATTGAAATAATTTTTGGTTTGATAATGGGAATTGTTGATTGGATTAATTTGGCCCGAGACTTCAAGATTTATATGATTTAACAGAAGCTTCAAAAAAGAAAAATAATCAAAAATAGGATTTATTGGTAAAGTTAAAACATATTCGAATACTGTGATTTGGTGTTTTGCTGAGAATGTTTGGCCATGTGGCCATGTTCTATTTTGAAAATCATATCAAAATTATTGGAGACTGTTGAAGAAATTCTTCGATTTTGTGAAATGTTCGTTTTAAATATTTCTTATACTTACCAATTATTAATTCACAGGGGTCGTCAACTGATTGGGTAGGTTTTATACAAAATGGCATTGTGATTTGATTTCCAATAAATCAAGAGTATAATTTGTTATTATTTTATAGCTATGCAATCACATAAATATGAAATCTTTAATTATTCCTTCTCGTTCCTTTTTTTAATTTCTGCAATGAGTTTTAATTTGAACGTAAATGTACAACAATATACTTAATCTAACAGTACACTTCCAAAGAGAATAAAAATATGCGAAGTTATACTTCATATCTGTATAGTTTTGATATATATGCGCATAATCTTTAGGCAAATTGTCTTCAAAAAATATAGTGCAAAATAGTTAGTTATGCCTGCCAAATTTAGTTGTGCAGTTAGCAGTTTGTTTTACTTGTACATTATTTTAGCCATATAGATTTTATTGTAAATTTTCATTTTGTCGGAAAATCAGTTTTAAAGTATCTGTTAGTCTCATGCTCTATTTCTCTGATATGTTCATATTTACATCATTTTTGGCAGAATTATGTTGCTGACAATTGAAAAATATATTTAATGTAAAAACGAAAAACATAACATCAATTACCTTTTATATTACTAAAACTTTCCAATTGGAATCCTACATGATTTAATTCAAACTGTACAGTTTTAGTCTATAACAGGATTGATTAGATTGTACTTAGCAAGAAAATATTTTCTTCACGCGTGAGGTTGTGATAATGTTAGTGAATAATGTCCAAGTTGGCAAAGCTTCAAGTTCAACATATTACATTGAGAACTGTTTAATTTCTACTTGTTATTAGGTTTTATGTCAGTAAATCTCACACACTTTGCAGTTCCAAAAACTCTTATTTCTAAACTCTTTGAGAAATTTCCAATTTGCTTATTTTCATTGTTTAATGCACCCCGTTGTGTCTACTACAGATTGCAATTAAACTAACTCCTACTACTGAGTATTACCGTTGTATGTTACAATTTTAGAGCAAACATCAAAAACATCAAGCTTTTGAGGCTGAATTAGATGCCAATGAAGATAGAGTTTCATCAGTAATAAACGTTGGAAGACAACTTATCGATTCACACCAATGTGCTGGCTCTGAAGATGCTGTTCAGGTACTTGGTTTGAAATATTCTTGTTTTGTTTATTCGTAACTAACTGAACTGCGGTATATACCATACAAGATTCAATCGTATGCAACCTGCCTGATAGGGAGGAAAGTCATAAAAAATGTGAAAAATCAACCTTTTGTATATTTTATATACTTTTATGGTATTGTAATCTTATAAGGCAGTGGTTGGGGGATTTAGTCATCGACTCAACTTATGACATTGTCTCAACTTGACTCCGTCAAGTTTGCGACTTTACTCATATTTTTCGAATGCATGATTTCTCCTGTATTCGTATTCTATCGAGAGTTATATTTGATTCGTTGAATACAGGCACGAATTGAATCTCTTGCTGAGCAATGGGACTATCTTCGTGAAAAATCTGCAGAGAAAGCTCTCAAGCTGAAAGAAGCAAATCAACAGCAAAATTTTATAACGGCTGTTAAAAACATTGAATTCTGGATGTCAGAGGTATGCGGAATCTTTTCATTTCATTCTGTATAATTCTATTTCTGTTAAAAAAATATTATTGCGTTTTTGCATATCCTGTTACTGTGCTATCTTAGCATTTTAGCAGCCTAATGTCTTCTTATCTTTGAGAAAAGATGTGTTAAGTTTTGACTACTATTTTGATGAATTGTAGTTAACTTCGGGGAATAATAAAACTGTTATATTCCATAAGATTTGTTGGGAAGACATCACTGTTGTTTCTAATTGTGAAAATGGCGGGTGGTCCGTTGTGTCCTGTTACTGCTGCTCGGTTATAACTTCTCACATGTAAGTCAATATGGGATGAAAGAAACTTGCTAGCTAATCCCGTGGACAAGGATAATAGGCTCCAAAACACCATTATGCTTCTTATCGCGAATAGACACATATACATACAACTGAAAAAATATTGGGAAGCAAAAATTCAAATTCGACTATCATCCCTTCTTACTCATAATACGTGAATAGTAAATAACTGCTAATTCCACATATGCATTCATTCTTGATGAACACATTTTTGAAATGAATTTTGACAATCTAGGTTGAGGCTGTTTTGGCTTCTGAAGATGTCGGTAGAGATGTTCCTTCTGTTAAAAATCTTCTCTCTAAACAACAACTGGTTGAGGCCGATGTTGCAGCTCATGAAGATCGTGTCAAAGAACTCACTGCGCAGGCCGATGCATTACTTGCAAACGCTAAAACATCAGATGCTTTGGATCCGTCGACTGTAGAAGCCAAGAAAAATGAGATAAATGACAGGTTTGACGTTTATCTTTTTTGATTATATGGAATTTCTGTGACTTGATTGTACTGTTAGTTCTAATCAATTCCTCAAGAGCTTTTATAAAGAAAATATACTCAAATTTGCAAATAGCCACCGAAAAAGATCTTAGGAAATAGCTATGTTTCCAGCAATTGTATCCTGTCAAAATGAACTTAAACCAATGTTGAAGTAATTGAACTTATATTTATATCACTGAATCAGAGAAGCAAACAAGGTTTGACATTACGACTGACTACGGTTGCCGGTTTAGTTCACTTGTGAGTTGTGACAATAGGTCATCAGTACTTTACGTGTGTTCACTACAAGCATGTACCTGAAGCTGAGCTTAGTAAATGTTATCTAAAGTAAATGAATAATGATATTCATAACTATGGTAAATACAAAGCAAGTTTTTGATGATTTATAGATTAATACAGAATTGATTTCTATTTCAGGTTTGCCAATATCAAAGAGTTAGCTCGTGCAAGACGTGCAAAACTTCAAGAATCTCAACGTGTTCATCAGTTTTTCAGAGATGTTGCGGATGAAGAGGCATGGATCAAGTATGTTGTTTAGGATTGATGGTTATATATGTCTTCTGATACTCTAGTCTAGGTTATTTCGTATTTGTTAATGAAGTTGTTAAAAGGAAGGTTTACTGAGGAGTAATTGTGAATTCGTTGCCTATTTCACACCTATTTTTAAAATGATATGAAGCATGCTAAATAGTCAAAATGTAAGCAAATCATTTGAAAGGAAAGAATGACATACAAAATTTATTGCGCATTCATTTATTTTTTGGGTTCGAAAAAATAATTTCTGATTTGTGTATATTACAGTGAAAAGAAATTACTAGTCGGAAGTGAAGATTGTGGCAGAGATCTGATCAGTGTAAATAACCTGAGAAAACGCCACAAACGTATCGAGGCAGATATTGTGACACACGAAGCTAATATTGAGCGATTGAGGGTAATTCTAACGATCATCTATTTTTTAGAGAATTAAGAATAACATTAAAAATGAATTTTGAATAATACCACTAAGCATTTATCAAACTGTAACATATTGCATATTGTCTCTAGATAAAATGGATGGTAATTCTGATTTATGCTAAAGTTGAGAAATAAAATGTATTTATATTTGCAATAAATTATTCCCCAAAATATATTAAAATTTATTTAACAGAGTCATTCTGTCAGCCTATACAAATTTTATTCACCAGTGAATGTAGTAATATATATATATATATATTTAAATGATAATACAATGAGGCTTTCTAACTGTGACTACTTCGAAACAGAATTTTTAATACATTCTATAGGAAACTGGTGAACAGCTGGCAAAAGATATTGATCCTCATGATGAGATTGAAAAAAGAGTTGAAGATTTGAATGAAAATTGGGACAAATTGAAAGAACTGGCTGGCCATAGAAGAACCAGGCTAGAACAAGCTCGTGCTTTTCAACAATTCCGGTTAGTTTGCTATATATACAGAATTTTGTTATATTATGATGCAGTATAATTTTTAATATCTATCTTTTTCTAAAAGGATCCACTTAAAAGTAGAAAGTTACAGAGACCTGTATTATTCCCCAGTTTGTCACAGTCGTTTGTGAGATTGTCGACTTGTTCGATGACTCAACTGAAATCGGAAAATCTGATATAGACAAACCATAGCACCAAAACCAAGTGGTGGTCAATACTGAACAGTGAACGGCATAATCTGTTTCCATTCAACCTATCTCTGAACCTCCAGTTTTCTTGTTATTCATGCATCAATACTTTCAAGATCATGTTTCAACATTGAATTTTTTAATACAGTACTGATTCTGATGAAGAGACAAGTTGGATGAATGAAAAACTGGGTGTCTTGGCTGCACCGGAGTCTCCTGCTACACTTGCAGCTGCACAGAGCTTATTGAAAAAACATGAAGCATTGGAAACTGATTTTGCTGTTCATCAGGATCGTATTGCTGATGTGAAAAAACAAGGACTTCAATTGATTGAACAGGTCAGGATCTTCAATTGTATATTTAATGGAAGATGACTAAGACCAGGAATTTCAGCTTAAATGTTTTCACCATGAACCAGACAGAATTGACATTTAACTGATAAAACGCCAATATTATTAATTCTAATGCTTCCAAAATAATAATATGCTTCCAATCCAGTATCCAAATGCTACAGAATTATGTTTTCATGTTTCATCAGTAATATATTTTGATCAGAAACTGACTATTATTCATTGTTTTATTCTGATTACCAACCGTCATCAGTTTTTTTGTTATATCTACTAGGTTTTTACCAAGTAAGTTGAATGTAGTTTTCTGAATTAAAGATCATAAAAGATAAAGTTGTGGTAAATTAATTTCGTTTTAAGGTGAATGTGCAACAATAAATGGGGTACTACCTAAAATCCCAAGCCATGGTAATATTCATTATAACCGTTGAATATCTAACCTCGTTAGCCATGGTCAGTTAAAGGTAAGAATTTGCCGTTGAAATACAGTTTACAAGTGTACTTGTGACATTTATGCAATAGCATATTTTTTCGACATTCACAGTAACGTTTTTAGATTCTCATGATTCTGTATATATAGGAAAATCCTGAAAAAGATGAGATCAAAAAGAATTTAAGTGACTTGGAAGAAAAACAAAGAAAACTGGAAGAAGCAGCAATGGAAAGAAGATCAAAACTTCAAGACACTTGTGCTTTCTTACAATTCAATTGGAAGGTAATGACTTAGTGTTTTACTCGGACATTTTGGAATGTGAGGAAATTCTTGCATATTGTTATGTCTGCAGACAATATGAAATAAGAGTTTTGGAGAAGACTTCTAACACTGGAGTTCTCAACATATAATCTCGTTTACCCCTTGATAGATTTTCCAAATTTTTCTTTTTGATGAAAATATGCAGATCCACGGCACTGCACTAATCAAGAACCCTATCATACAACAGAAGCTGTTGAAATTTCAACATTGACCATATTTGGTTATGCAGTGAGATGAAATTAGATGATCAATTTATGCTGTACGGAATAGTGTGAATTTAACGCTTGCAAAATTTACGCCTGCAGAAAATCAAATTTAATCTCGGTTGAGAACCCCTGGAACCCCATGCCAAGTTTTTGTCCAGGGTGGAGTTTTAACAACAACTGTAACAATGCTTGATGTTGCTACAATTGCTAAAATGATGTTAGGAATTCACTTCCAAATGATTACATTCAATAGTAAATAAAAAACATTTTAGATTATTGAAGTTTTTCTTGTTTTTGAATTTTAGGCCGACTTAGTTGAAGTGTGGATTGGAGAAAAAGAAAAAGTTGTGAAGTCTGGCGATTTTGGACAAAATTTGTCTTCTGTTCAGGGATTGTTGACCAAGCAGGTAACATTTGTATCCATACCTAAAGTACTGCAACTTGTTGTTTCTACATCATAGCATCGTGTTATAGATTCAAACTAATGATTACCACCAAGCTTTAAAAAAGTACAGTGTATTAAACTGAAATTGAACAGATTAAAAAATAGCTAAAATTGAATTGAGAGTGCGACACAAAATTTGTGCTATCATTATCTTATGACTCTTCTGAAGGAAACATTCGATGCCGGTCTTGCTGCTTTCGAACAAGAAGGTATAGTCAACATAACTGCTCTCAAAGATCAACTCGTCGCTGCTGAAAATGTTCAATCTGATGATCTGGAGAAAAGACACGATGCACTCATGAAACGGTTTGTGGTTTGTCTTCAACTTTTTCAATTGTGAAGCCTCCTACCTTCCTCTTATTTCATATTTTGTCGATATACTGTAAAATATGATATTTTTGAAAAAACCGAAGTGATATTTCAGGATTCTATTGCAAAGGTATGATTGGTGTATATAACAAACCTTGATCTCTAATTTCAAGTTTTATTTGGATTCAATTTTTTACAATCATCGCTGCACAATTATTGTTCAGAATGATGAATTCACACAACCTATCATTCTACCAAGATTCTTCATGTTAAGTAGTTCGTTTAACAGCAAACCTTGTTTCTAACGACTCTCTTTTACCCAAAAAAATAATTCTACTTCTGTTAACTTACAAAGTGACAACTAAAATCACGCAACCTGTGATACTTTGAAAAATATTTGACCTTTTTATGTTGTGTAGAATGCATTTAGTTTTGTATTAACATTACTTTACTTACACAGAATTTAAATTAGCTATGTTCATACCTAAATAATGTCTTCCCGGCAAATTTATTCATTTCCCTATTCTCTATTCTGTTAACATTATTACTATTTCTTGAATCAGCATTAATTTTATCTGAACAAAATACCTGCTTGAACTTCTATCGATGACTCCTGATTTAAATTTTCCTTAATATATTTTGTAAAAGGTGGGAAGCCTTAAAGGCAGCATCTGCGGAAAGAAAATCACAGCTATTAGAAGCTCAGCAAAAACTTAGAGGTGTAGACGATCTGTTCTTGAAATTTGCGAAGAAAGCTTCACTTTTCAATTCCTGGTTTGAAAACGTTGAGGAAGATTTAACTGATTCAGTCCGATGCAGTTATATTGAAGAAATCGAGGTATTGTTCGATTTAACAATGTTCTTATTTTCATCATTTGGGATTTCTGAAATTGTCCTTTTCTGAATAGTCTTATATTCTTTAACCGTTTCCTTTTTCTTGCTGTCTAGATTTTAAATATACTATTTGAATCTTTTTCTTACCAAATTTGTTTTATTCTCAAGAGACATTTTGAAAATAATTCAATCAAAAATAAACTATCTGACCGAGCCTGTACTTTATTTAAAGTGATTATCTCATCGATATAATGTTTTTTTTAAATTATTTGAATATATCCAAACTAATGTGAACACTCGATTAATTGGTTAATCTTGTCGTCTAATAAGCTTAGAGTATGACCTTGTTATTTGCAGGTTAGACGGCATGCCATCGATTTTGCTTGGTAGATTCCAAATCCCATTATAATTCAACAATGAAAAAATCTTCTGTGTTATATGTATATTTAAAAATGTTCAGGTAGATTACTAATCTAAGCTAAGATTTACTGAAGTTACCTCACACTCATGATCTTACTAGTTTTTATCATTTATTTTATCCTTCCTTCATTTTTGTTATTCCAGGAGCTAATGGAGAAACAAAATCAGTTTAAAAAGTCTCTTGACACTGCAGAAGCTGAGCTGAAAAGTCTACAAGAATTGGATGACGAGTTATCGGATTTGACTGGAACCAGACCACCCCCCAACCCCTACACTTGGTTTACTGCTGAAGCATTAGTCGGAATGTGGAAAGACGTACAGCGTCTTGCGAATGAAAGAGATGGAGATTTAGAAAAAGAGAGATTAAGACAAGAAGAAAATGAAAAATTGAGAAAACAATTTGCTGTCAAGGCAAATGCTTTCCACAAATGGCTGACTGAAACAAGGTATATTTTATTTTTACACATTCTTAGTGTAATTAGGGTTGAATTTAGTAATCTTGAAAATGAGGAATATGGTTTTGGGCAAAATTTAGGGTGCTCCAGAAGTATGTGTACCAATATGGAAGTAACTAATTTTGTTCGCCTACTTTACATCAAGTTGTCTGAAGGGACTGAAACCTATGGACAGGGAGTACTCACTTGGCTAACACAAACAGTCTCCGAACTCGTAATAGAACTAAAATTATGGCCTAACCCTAATCTGGTACACACGCTTAGAATTGAGTATTTTATGTTTTCTCTGCGATAACAAAGAGATGATTTGCAAACATATTTGATGAACAGTCTGTTTTTCGTCCCATATTTTTGGATCATTGAAATACATTCACATATAACTGGCTTGGGACTTACAAGAACATTTAATAAAGGTGGAGTTTACTACGTTTCCACCAGAACATGTTCGATTGTTGTCAAGTATTTTATCATATAAGATGAAACTAGACTGTTCAAAAAATGCTTGGTGAAATTTGTTTTTTACAAATTGAATTTTTTTGTTGCATTGAAAATTCCAATGGAAAATTCTGATCACAATTTCATATGAAATTTTCTGGTGTGTGACTTTGTTGCATTTGGTATATCAATAAAAATATTTTTGAAATAAGATTGTGGAATACGCTGAACGGATTTTTCTCTTTAATTCTTTAACATATTAATAATACTATCATGTTACTATTTTCTCACTTATTCTCAGGATGCAATTGTTGGATGGGTATAATATTGATATTTTGTCTTCTCATATATTTGCATGTGTTATGTATAGCTAACAAAAATTATTTTAAACATAATAAGAAATCAAGTAAACATAAATTTATTGTTCATCATATTTCATTGTCTTAATATTGTCTGTGAAAGAAACACCAGAAGAATTGGATTTCCAAAACTTCTCCAAATGTAGTAGGTTGTAGATCCTCGAATATATCATTAAATATAGTTAAAAGAATTTTCAAGGCTTACTTGGTGAAATTTAAAGTCTGCAAAAATAATATTATTGAATTCAAATATTCCAAAAACTGTGTGTTTCAGATAATCTTTTGTGAGGTTGTAGGCCTTTATTTGAGTGTTGTTAAGTGTGAAAAAATTAATAATAACTTGTGACTGCAACTTACCAACCAAGTGCAACATATGTGACATTCAATAAAATATACTAAAATTAGAACTCACAATTGCTTGCTGATATGCTATCTTATTTCCAACACAAGTTGTTTAGTTGGTTCATGCACAGAAATGAATCTTGACTCAAACCGGATTCAGCCAAAGTTTGAATCCAGATTTTGGCTTATGTCTGAACAAAATATTATGTAATAACTTGTTGATGAATCAAATTGTGATAATATGTCTTGGGAGTTGTAAATAATATGTTTTGAAAAATTGAATTTTTGTGTATTTTGATATTGGTGCTTGTTTGACAAAACAAATGCTTTCTTATTTATATTTCACCGTCACAATCACAGTAAAGGCCACCTATCTATTTTTCATCCAAATCTCACAACATCGCATAGGAGGTAAAAATTTAGTTGGCTTCAAAAACTCATTCAAGAATGATTGCTTTTGATCAAAATAATAATGGAAATGATTTGACTTTTTTCTGATAGTTATTAGAAATATTTTTATGCGGAAGGGTTTCTTCATGACAATTTTAAAATGCAAATTATTGGAAATAAGAAATTGTTGACTGTGCAATGTGTGTTTTTAGCATGTGTCATGTATGAATTGAAATGTCAATTTCATTCGAGCATTGCCTGTTTGACATGTATATAATGTTTATGATTATGCAAAAGTGTATTACATTGGTCATGTTTATATGTTGTTCCTGTATGGCAAGTGAAAGTGCTGTTAAAACTAATGTTTTTGCTTGCTGACTTTTCCCGATGAGTTTTTTGAGCATTTTCTTAGATTGTACATGTACTCTTCGTTGAAACTTACTTGAATTAAAGGAGACTGAGAAAATTCACTCATCTTCAATATGTTCTAGCTCCAGTTCTGGACTTCTAAATCAATAATATTTCACGTCTGAATAATTCGGAGGGTCAATGTTTACGCCTTGTCATATTATATTGATATGACCTATTTTATTCAAAGAATTATTTCTTACCTCTTAGAGCAAGCATGGTTGAAGAATCTGGTACTCTGGAATCTCAACTTGAGGCTACAAAGAAAAAATCACAAGAAGTGAGAGAATCTAAGGTTAGTTCCAATTTACACTTTACGAAACATGATCTGAAAAGCATATTAATAAAATTTGTACGCTACTAAACTAATCTCATACCAACATGAAGCGGTAACTGGACGACAGGCTGTAGTTCACCATATGAATAAGCCGAATTATCATCTTTTTTCTCCTTCTGTATCCCATCTTATCCAAGTATGGTAATTAAACTTTTTATCTGTGATTTATTTCAATTTGAAATGTTCCAAATAAGTTCTTGCATGTGCAGCTCAAATCATAGTTATTAGTTGTTGTGATTTTCTATGCAGTAATATGAATTTTTCTGAAATGTTTTTTTTCCCAAACTTATTATTAACTATTTAGCAATGGTCCATGTAATACATTTGTATCTTGCACTCTATACAATGAAAAGACAAAATCATTGTAAAAAATTTATTTCAAATTCCTATTAATGAGAATGGTGAATGATTGTTGCAAATTAGAAGATATTGCATTAAAATCATGCCCACCCCAATCACCCAGAGTACCAGTAATTGGGTTATCAATGTACTAATGCAAAACACCCCAAACTTCCAAATTTTTGTTTACATGCAGCTCCTTCCTATATGTCAATGGTTGCATGTGTAGGCCATAATTTTATTCCGATTTCCCTTATTTTAGTTCTATTACGAATTTGGGGACTGTCTGCCCTGCCCACTTCACACAACTTGTTGTAAAGTAGCCGAAGAAAATTAGTTACCTCCATATTGGTACACATACTCCAGTAACTAAAAAATTTACAATTTGTTTCAGACTCAATTGGATGAAGTTGAACTAGTTGGAGCATCGTTGGAAAAGGCTTTGATTCTCGATAATAAACACACAGAACATTCTAGTCTTGGTCTTGCTCAACAATGGGATCAATTGGATCAACTTGGAATGAGAATGCAGCATAATCTGGAACAGCAAATACAGGCCAGGTGATAGAAAATTCCCAACCTCTTAATTTCAATGCATGAGAACAAAAATATAGGGATAGAAAGTACTATCAGTATGCTTCTTGTCAAGAATTCAGATTTTTTAACAAACAAAAATTATATGGCTACATTGGTTATGTGTCTCCTGCTTTAGCCTTCAGATTTACGGTATGTAGCGTTGCATTTTAGCTGAAAATATTTCGGAATTAAGCAAAGTCTTAAATGTGATATTAAGTTATGAAACTTAATGCTTCATGCTGAGTGCTAGGAATCTTCTCTCCATAAATAACATGATCTATTTTGGATTGCTGGCTCAACAAGCTTTTAAATTTCAGTAAACAATGTATTAAATGCGTATTCTTTTTTGCTGTAAAAATGGCTCACTCAGAATTATCTCCCAAGCTCCCAAGTGGAAGTGGAAATGCGTTTGTCTCCTCAATACTATTGCAGGGGGCTTCATGTAACTGCTTTCTAAATCATCTCATTGCACTAATCAAAATGTACCTATGAAGTTTAATCAGTATTCCTGAGCTAATGGGAAATTTCAAACCTTTTGAAACCAATTAGTTTTGTTGAAAGCTCCTATGACAAACCACTTCATATTATTATCTAATTGATATTCTGCAGAAACATGACCGGAGTAAGTGAGGAAACTTTGAAGGAAATTTCCATGATGTTCAAGCATTTCGACAAAGATAAAACAGGAAAGTTGGAACATCACGAGTTCAAATCTTGTCTTCGATCTCTGGGTTACGATCTTCCGATGGTTGAAGAAGGAGAAGAAGATCCAGAGTTTCAAGCTATATTGGATACTGTTGATCCAAACAGGTAAGTCGTTTTTCAAATCCATGAGCCATCAGTCAAGTCCACATTGAGTTGAGTCTGTCTGCAATATAGATTTCATGCAATGCATTTTCAACCAATTCAGCCATTGCAAGACGAACGAACCAAGCTATTGTACTGATTGTAATGCTAGCAGTCTGTAGAAGAGAACTTTCAACCAACTTTTTTCGCTGTACCATCTCTTGTATCCTGTAATACTCATCATAACTCTGTATTTCCATCAACCAGGTCTGTCAGGTCATGGCCTTGTAGTAAAACAGCTTAATGACATTGGCCAAGTGAATATGATAATGAAGATCACCAATTTGTCGATTCGTTACTTTATGACAATTTAGTATAGATTTGAGTCTCGATTAATACTGCTTACATGGCATAAAAAATTTGTCAGTAATTCAAAAGTAACTCCTAACATATCAATGGTTTTCTGCCGAACAGAAGGATGTAAAAAATAATAATTTGAAAATTTGATTTCAGGGATGGTGTGGTTTCTCTGCAGGAATACATGGCTTTCATGATAAGTCGAGAAACTGAAAATGTGAAATCACTGGAAGAAGTTGAAAGTGCTTTCTCTGCTCTTAGTGCAGAAGGAAAACCATATGTTACAAGAAATGAGTTGTATCAGGTATGGAAAAGAACTTCATTAAGCTATCTGTTTTAAGTGTTCTGATGTTAGGGGAATGAGGTATTCTATATTTGTATACAATTTCGTATTTGAACTGAAAGATTAGAATTTTTTTTTTGTTCAATTACTGTCATGAGGTATACTTGACAAGGTATCATGGGAGTTTTATTGTTGAGCAAGAGCTTTAAAAAATAGGAATACAGTTAAACACTAATATTAAACAATTTTTATTGTAAACAAACAATTTTTAATGTAAACAAAAACGATCATATGATGGTATCAACAATTTGACTGAATGAATTGAAACAATGATGAATTGAAACAAATATTTTTCGAACTTCACAATGTGCAATGTGTATAAATTTAAGGATTTAATGAAACTTCAAAAGTTGTAAATATTTGAAAAAAATGAATTTTTCAAAAAGTACTCCTGAGTGTTCCACTCCACTCCAAAGGCTATGAGTGTGAAAAAATATTCACTTTTACTTCGTTATCAAATACAAATATTTTTTCTTTTTTCAGAATCTGTCATCAGAACAAGCGGAATACTGCATCCGACATATGCCTCCATATCACGATTCTCATGGAGTACAAGTGCTTGATGCGTACGATTATGTCGCATTTACCAGAGAGTTGTTCATGAATTAATAATACTAATGTAGTTGTAGCTTAAATGTTGATTTACTAATCCAAATAGTCAGTAATTGACCGAAATGCCCTTATTGCGTAACTAAAAAGGAGTTTGTAATTGTGGTGGACACGGAACTTTTACAATTTAATTTTAAAATCTGTTTATGATAATATGTATGTCCAAAATCACAGCTTTTGGAATAATAACCTCTGGTATTGGGTTATTCAATATTGAGTTATGGATTTCATCAATGAAACAGGCTCGACAGCAATTTATTGCATATTGCAAGGTACCATGTTTTTCTTGCAAGAATCATTCAACAAGTATTGTAATTCTACCCCCTTGGTTTTTACCAATATTTTTCATGTTACTGAGAAGAATTTTGCTCACCTTTAAAAATATAAATTCGATTGAGTGTACGGTAATTCTTTAAAAATTGTCTTCATCTTATCCAATATTGTGGCATTGTTATATTTTATGGTGAATTTCTGACTTTTTGTAGTGTTCAATCAATTATAACTAGTTGATGTATCGTTCGTTGGAAATTACTTCTATCTAAATCTACATCCATATGCCCGCAGTTTGATTTTTTGGTATTTCATCCTCTCAACAAAATCAACAACAAATATGTGTTCAAAGTAATTTCGTAACATTTGGTATCATATTTCCATACACATTTGCCATGTTTCACTTTTGTTCGGATAGTGCCATATTGCTTTGTATATGAAATGCTGAAAAAATGAGATATGTGTGAACAAGGCCTGTGAACTAATAATTCTGACACCTGGCACTCAACATATCTGATTCTCCATCAAACAGAAAGAACATCTGGGGTGAATGAGGACATTTTTTATGGTCTCGTTACAATAAGTTTTCATCAGTCTTTGGGAAATCCCAATTTTATACCCAAGCGTTCAGCACCATACGAAAACGTCCAGCATTACTCGTACTCAAGAAACTGAAAGGATGATTGATTGATCTGCCATGCTATAGTATAAGATGCGTTTAATCGATATTTTAGCTTTTTCAGAATATTTCTTAGAGATTAGGAAAATGGAAGATATTACGAGTTTAGGGAAACCGCAGCGTTCGTCAAATATGTCATTTGGAACTTGTGTGTTGCACCGAGCCCAACCTCAACGCCTACCATCATAATTAATTCAGAAAAGCTGGTACGCCAGCAGGAAGCTGATGCGGCAATTGGCCTGTAACACTACTGAATCCATTTCCGTTGTAATTGGAAAAATACAAAATAAAATCCATTGACGCTTGGAGTAGCAGCCTTGGTCTAGATTAGAAAGATCATCGACCGTATGCAAATTGTATGTCATAACAAAATGCCACTAAGATATATCGCGAAGTAAAATTAACTTTATTGTCTGTCTTGTATCATTATCTTAATACTGTCTGTGAAAGAAGCACAGGGAAAGTTGTTTTTCCAAAACGTCTAAATGTAGTAGGTTATGATGAGGTAAATTTTCAAATATGGCATAAAATACGGTTGGCAGAATTTTGAGGATTATTCCGATTAAATTTAATAATGGCAGAAACGAGTTAGGCTAACAAAATAATTTGAAATCTACAATTCAGATGAATTACTTGTAAGATTGTAGGAAGGTCTTTATTTGAACGTAAAGTGTAAAATATTAGTGATAACTTGTGATCACGACTTACCAGCTAAGGGCAACATTCAATAAAATATACTAAAATTAGAACCCAAATTTGCTTTTCACTTATATGCTATCATATCGTGACATTATCTATAAGTTCAAATAGATAATTTTTATAAATTTTTTGTTGGGCTGCGTAAATAAGAATCAACCCCTTCAAGGCTCCATAACACCAAAGTTTGAGAACCCTGGACTAGCCAATGTCAGTTTGATCCGAAAATTGTCAATTATGATAATTCATATTCATTGATTAAAGAGGACAGGCAAGAGTGTGATTGCATTGGTCATATTTATATCTTGTATGTTAAGTGGAAGTCTTGCTAAAATCTCTCAAAGCTTCATTTGAGTTTTCATCTTCTGCCAAACTGATTTTGAGCTTTTTCTATAAGACCATTCTTAAATTTAGGAAAGCTTAAATCACACTCGAAGCTTTTCTATTTTTTATAATTTACTTGAATAAACAGAGGACTATTAAAGTTTCGCACACTTCCAATAGGTTGCTCAAGCCGCCAAATTTGGCCATAAGATGACACGTTCGGGGCAGAAGCAGCCATCTTAAATCTGTGGGGATAGAATATTTTTATCGAACAACGCGAAATAGTGCAGCAAATAAGTATTTGTATAATGGACATTACAAATTAGAATATTGCTTTATTCGTGACTTCAATCGACTACGAAAATTTGCAAAGAATGTTTCCGTTAAAATTGAGCGTCATATCAGAGCCAACGATTTGAAGATTCTGTTACGTTTGTAAATTTCCCGTTTACAGAATATGACGCTGAGAGTTACGATCACGAACTGTCAAAATTTTGTTAGATATTTCCGGGTATATGCAGTGACGAATTTCATTAGAAACAAGTATATTACACACTTGGATATGAGGGCGTGAGATAAGGTTCTGCGCTGCTTGTAGACGAACCAATATGCTGAACTTCTTTGCTAAAATTTAAGTGCGAAGACGCTTACAGTATTTAAAATTGAACGTAGCTTGAAATCGTAGCTTTCATGATGTGACATTTAGCACGTAATTTATTAGAGATATTGTATGATTGGTAAATTTTCATTATTTTTGATCGTTGTAAATTCATTTTAAACACGCTGATGAATCAAATTAATTTCTTTGTGTGAGGGTAGCCGAATAGGATGTCCACAAGGTCAGCTTGAAATTTAATGTTAGAATAACAAACGTGTAAATACGGCGCGTCTTTATTTTTATTTCTCATAGAACATTTCTATTTGTATATACAGTATAGGCTTTCAATTGGAAGTAATAGTCAATGCTCAGCATGGAAGAAGGCAACAGCAATGAATGTTTGAGAAAAGATAAATGTGAAAATAAACAAAGTCAAAGGTTTACTCATTTCAGCACTTTTTAGAAGCATTCTAGATTCATAATTCTTTTACTTGAATTAGTAACGGCGCATACAATAAAGTCATTCGCTTAATCGGAAATGTAAAACCAGCCCAATCACCTTACTAATGTATTTTCAGTGGGTACTTGACTATAGACAATTTTAGGTTTATCAAAAATGAAGATGCTAGTGTGGGTTTCGTATCCTATATTTTGAAACTTTGGAATTTTAAACTCTTAAGCAAACTGTCAGTTTTAGTGGGATTACTCCCTTTTGATTAAGCTGATGTTTTCAACCTTTATGTATTGAAGTTGGCCAATAAATCAGTGCAATAATTTTTGTACAAAAACTTATCATCAACCCCAGCCTTTTTCGTTGAATAATTAATCGGCGACTAATTTTAAGACCAATCATATTCTATTCGTGTGGAACATGATATTTTGTGATAGTTTTGCACAAAGGCGTGGCTATATTTATTATTCAAAAATAACAAGAATGCTTCTTATTCCCTTAATCCTAGATTCCGAATGACGTGGAAGCGGCCGCTGGAATTCCTTCTGAATATAGTGGGATACACTATCGGACTGGGAAACATTTGGAGATTTTCGTATCTTTGCTACAAAAATGGGGGAGTAAATAATCAGTCAAACGCAATATCGCTACTGTATCTACATTTGCATAAAGTTATATATAATGAAACTAAAAATTCCATTATTATGTTGACAAGAGAGCGACTCCCAAATATATGAACACGGAGGTCGCGCTTCGATTACATCAATTTCTGGCATCAATGAAACTATTCAACCTGTGTAAGATAAAGTGTATATCGATGTAATTGTATTTCAGGAGCATTTCTCATACCATACTTTCTCGTGGCAGCTCTATGTGGCGTACCTTTGTTCTTTCAAGAAATTGCCATGGGACAATTCTCGAAACGGAGCTGTTTAAACGCATGGAATATAGTTCCGGCGGTGAAGGTCTGTAAATACTTAATCTTTTTCAATTTATATCTTGCATACTTTTGATACAACAAAATAGTGAATATAAAATCGTTGGTATATATATATACGTTTTTATTTTATATAAAATATTTGGTCCGTTCAATACTATGTGTGGAAACTCCGGGTAGGCTTTTCTAACAAGTGTCCCACCGCGAAGGAACCTTGGTTAGTGCATGGAAATTATTTAATATTCAGTTAGTCTTTTTCTAACTAAATTATTAATATGGCATTTAATTTCAGGGCATTGGTTATGCTCAACTACTTCTTTCCTGGTATTATCTCAGCTATCTCGCTGTGCTGATGGCTTGGATTGTATTTTATCTTGTAAACTCGTTCACTACAGAAGCCTTACCTTGGTCAACTTGTGGTGAGAAATACTACTTCTACTGCTAGGTTTAAATAAGCAGTTCAATTTACCTTCAACGCTCTTGTAAAGCACCCATCATTTTAACAGCGTAGTGCATTGATTCTTTAGTCGGGGTAAATATAGCGTTGCTGATGAATTTCCTCATTTTGGTGGGAAATTTTGACTAACAATACGAATAAATCACTTTTTTTCGCAAATAAATCACTAATCATTTTCTGATTTTCAGTACTTATAAATAGAATAATTTTTCTATGGGGCCTAATATTTCACTAAAAATGTTGGTTTTTTATTTTACCCAACCGCACCACCTGGTCTCCGATCTTTTCAACAAACTCAGTGCTACCAACCCCTAACGTGTCTGTACCCGTGTGTGGCCTTCGTGCTTATTTATTTGAGCATTGCTCTCTTGGTTATTGGACACAGAGTAAAACCATGGATTGTTTTGTTATTATGTTGTTGTTGTTGGCATTTTTCTTCTTCTTGTTGTTCGCCTTCCTTCTTAACTACTGGATCATTTTTTTTTGAACATTTTTAGTTATTAAGATTGTCGTTGTCGCCAGACAGCTATTTCTTTCAAAAATTTCTGTGTTCTCTATGAGATTCTATTCTCACTTTACAGTTTTGCGTGATGACATCATCAAAATTGAAAATTGCGCACCGTGTGGCGGTTCCGTGGTCGCATTTTAGCATCTGTTGCTCAGCAAAGTCGGGCAGTTTTTGATAAGGTACCGTAGTTTAACCAATGTTACGAAAATAAACAAGAAAGTCGATGATCGGAGTGGTCCGATGGTTTTATCAATGTTCACCGTACTTGCCTTGACAGCAACACGAAAGCCAGGCAATTAGAATCTTTTAATTGGACCGACCGAGGTGTACAAAGCTCAAGGTCCCCACAAAGACAACGGTCCAAATTTCGCCATCTTTTCAACCCGAATACGCACGGTCGAACACGAACATATAAAATTAGGGCTAGTAACCGGTTTTAGTCACAACTTTGCTCTTTCACAGATTTGGTTTGTTGCGACTTTGAGTATCCAACTACATATTGCTCGACCAAACATTTTTGACCGCGGGCCAGGTATGACTCAAACTGTGTTGAAACGGGCCGGACAAATATTTTTGTCAATGCAAAACAATAAATTCCCAAAAGTTTGGAAATCCATTCAATTTATTCAACAACATAAATTCTACATTTCTGTCTTGAATATTAAATTCTATATCGCAGAATATAGATCAAGAACATCCTATATAGAAAACAAATATACAAGATTTCTAGACAACTATCCTGATTCCTGAGGGTAGCTGATAGCAAAACAATTGCTGTCATGAATATACGCGTGTGAGCAGTACAAAAGTTAACGTGACTTGTACTATTAGCGCAGAAAAATTTGCCATTTTTCCGCGTTATCGCGGGCCAGATGAAAGGACGACACGGGCCGAACGGATCTGGCCCGTGGGCCGGAGTTTCGTGACCTCTTTTAAACAAACAACAATGTTAACAACCCAGTCACGATGACGACAGGGCAGTTGTTAGTGCCCGAATACGATTGAAAACAAACGTTTTGTGCCTGAAAAATCTCGAAACCGAAATATTGAATACAAAGAATAAAATGCCAGTACATCCTTAAAAAGGACATTTCTACATCTTTCTTTTGACAGGCCTCAATCGACGTTCTCCGTTTCTATAACCGATAGAATAAAATGGATACATGACAAATGCACCATGTTTTAACTATAAGTCAAGTTACCAACCCATTAGCTTGGGGATGTCATTCCCATAGCCAAGCCTGCTAATACTGCAATCATTAGTCTAATTAAAATTTTTATTCAGATAATGAATGGAATACAGATATGTGCCAATCAAGAGATACTTCGGAAAATCTTAGTACTTCTATTACAATAAAAAACGTAACAAGGAATGGTACTTCTCCAACAAACGAGTTTTGGACGTAAGTGTACCTCGTTTTATATTAAAAAATACTACTAGAATAAAAGTGTGCAATACTTAGCGACTTCACCAGACAAATATTGGGGGTTGCTACTCTTCGTATTGGATTGTTTCCCAATATTTTCCATTTACTGACTTTTGCCAAATGGCACATGATTAAATTAGTATATATTGAATTGACGAACAATTATGACGTGGAACCCATTTCTTCTCTCACCCTACTTTTACGATTCTAACGACTTTATTGAATATCATCATTTTTGAAATATATATAAGTAAAATACTATTAGGGGTGCACTATAAAAGCGTTGAACTGCCGCTTGATTCTATTAAAATTTATAAAAGAACAATATGTTCTACATGGATTAGTTACTGTAGTTGATAACAAATCCGCACATTTCTAATTCAAAGCCATTTCTAAACATCTACGTCATTTCCACCATGTTTTATTTAAATTTTTATTTTTTCAATAACGGACATTTCAGAAATCACGTGTTGAGGCGAACAGATGGAATTCATGACATGGGTAGTTTTACAAACTGGAGAATGATGTTGTGCTTCCTATTTTCGTGGTTTGTCAGTTATTTGTGCGTTTTTAAAGGAATACGGACAACGGGAAAGGTTGGTATATGATTTTTTTGTTGTTGTAAATAATTGTTGTATTTTGAGCACACAAACAATTACCTATTCGCTGCCATAATTCTTACAGGTAGCTTATGTCACTGTTATTGCTCCGTACATCATGCTTCTGATTCTTCTTGTTCGCGGAGCAACCCTCGAAGGTGCTGATAGTGGTGTTTGGTATTTTATCACTCCTCAGTTGGACCGCTTAGCCGATGCATCAGTAAGTATTTTTCCGTTTGAAATTAGGATATGACCAATTTAATGATGATTTCATTAACTCAAGCAACGTACTTTATTTCAAAATGTCTCCAGAAACGAATATATTCGAAACTATACTGCAATATTCAGTAAACATAAAAACATATATATGCTGACTCCTTATGGTTATTCTTTTTATTGTGGTAAAATTCACATTTTTGTGTGTTTTGCAGGTATGGTTAGACGCTGGAGGGCAAGTTCTTTTTACTCTGGGTGTGTGTTTTGCTGTACTTTATGGCCTTGGGAGTTACAATGAATACCATACAGACTGCTACAAGTAAGATATGTTCAAGAACTTTATATCTTAAATTGCATATATATATATGATTACGAAATTTGACCTCGATTAAGTTAACCTCCCACAGTCATGAATGGTATCACCAATGGATTAATTGTAAAATATTGACGAGGCATTTGATTTTTTTAGGCATTTATAACAAATTGAATTGCTGTAGAAACAAAAAAGATTGATTATTTATTTGAGAATTTTCAAGCCCAGCCAGAAAGTCGAATTGAAACAATGTTGACTAAAGCACAATAAAGATTGTCATCGATAAGTTGTTGTGGTTGAAATTCTATTATTTTGAATCTGGAAGTATAAATATAGGTAGGGTTTTTCCATATTCGGCTTGTACGTGATTGATTACAGTAATTGATTATATGCCTTTTTATTACAGACACTCAATTATTTGCGTTTGCATCTGTTGTGGAACTTCTATATTTGCTGGATTAGTAATATTCTGCTTTCTGGGTCACATGGCTCATGTGCAAGGCAAGGATATATCGGAAGTCGCGGAAAACGGTCAGTCGAATTAAATTATATGATCTGTGTTTTCTCCAAACAAATCACGCAAATAATCTTAGACGCTAAGCATGTTTTCGACAGAAAATTGTGTAGGTCACTGTCATAAAAGTTATTCAATTTTCTCACATATTTGTTTGAGCTTTCGAATTCTGAATATTTATGAAAGCGGATATTAGGAACTTAGCCATCCGTCAACAACGGGCGATGATACCATTAGAATGTTTTTACTTTTAAATTTTAAACTTTTTTTTTTCAAAACGTGGTTAAACTTTTATTTTCTCTAAAGCCCAAAGTTAGTTTAATATACGTAAGTAGAAATTCCGATTATTATGCCAATCTTGCATGTTAAAATACGCGCCTCAGATTTCCAAATTTATAGTTCATTGAAATAATCATACTTTCAGGTCCGGGACTTGTATTTGAAGTATTTCCCGCTGGTTTAAGTTTATTACCATTACCACAAGTATGGTCCATCATATTTTTCACCGTTCTCTTTCTCATTGCAATTGATACATCGGTGAGCGATTTATTAATTTTTCAAGTCAATATGAAGTAATTTTTCAGTCTTTTGTTTCGTTTGACACATTTTACAATTTGTAAAAAAAATTCTGTGTATAAATGGCTGTTATTTTCTCGCTATTAAATCATCGCGTTGTCAAAACAGATCTAATTTACATAGTCATAGTCAAGTTTTTTTCCTGTCAGCAAAATGATAAACCATACAAATACAAAAGTACACAAAAATACCAATAACCTAATTCTAATGGTAAAGGGAAGCCGTGGGGAACCTAAGCTGGTTATCGAGCAGCTGCCCCAAGGTTTTAATATTAAGATTTAGAAGATCGGGGAATTATTTTTATTTAATATTTTCATTTTTTTCAAAAAATATATATATTTATATAAAACAGATAGATGATTAAATACGAAAACAACAATATTGTTCCGTTTAGTTTGGAACTATAGAAGGTTGTGTCGCACTGTGCGAGGACATAAGCCCGCGATGGCATGATCGACTGGGATCTCAACTGTTCAGAATGGTCGTTTGTTTGATCCCGTTTCTTCTTGGTATCCCGATGCTTTTTGACGTAAGTTGCTGTTGGGAAATCACATTTCCAACTTAGTAAAATGCAAAACTATAAATTGTATAAGAATTGTGTCATATTCAACGCACGCAAATGCCGCAAGGACGTACGTTCTAGAGTGCGATCATACATAATCGCTTGCCAAAATTTTTTTATGAACAAATAATTGTCACTTCATTATTACTATTCAAAATAAGAATTTGTCATTAAACAGCTATAAAATTTTCAGAAGTCAACATTCACTTTCTGATATATAATGCAACGCAAACTGTTTACAGGGTGGAATATATGTTTTTGAGCTTTTCAATATGTATGGAAACAGCGGCATTTGTATCTTGTTCGTGGCGTTTTGTGAAGCTGCAGCACTGGCATGGATTTACGGCGTTGAAAGATTTTTCGATGACGTTAAGTCAATGATTGGATATTATCCCAACGTTTACTTTCGATACTGTTACAAATATTTTGTTCCAGCTATAACTCTGGTAAATGGGATTTTTTTCCATTATAGTAAAGTAGTTTTGTTCAACAATTCGCATTCAAAGTTCCATAATATTTTTCGCCGTTTGCTCTGTGAAAATCTATTATATACATCAATTCATGACATCAATGGTGTGTTTCCATAATTGATTTAAAATACATTTATTCAGCTTGTTAGAAATTTAATTTACTAATATTCTTTTGCTCGTCCTTCCCCGTTGCGGATGTCTTTATTACATTCCGTAATACTTACTTGTATGTGTTTCAGCTCATCTTCAGTGTATATTGTGTAACATATTCTCCAGTAAAAATCGGTGACTATACATACCCGGAATGGGCAAATGCGATTGGGTGGATCCTCATGCTACTTGTTATCGGTCCAATTCCATTGTTTTTTTTGATGACATTGAAAAAAGAACACGGTACACTGGCGGAGGTTAGTTTGATGTTTATACGCTTTTTACATGACTATCGGTATATAAATATATATATAAACAAAAGGGTCAACAAAATTGTGAGCAAATATAAAAAAGTGGAAAATGCAGTACAGATATATAAAAGTCGAAAATGTAGTACAGTTTGATAGCTTCTTAATTTTCTATCTCTAGATACCGATGTTGTTTGGGTAACTTGTAAAAACCATACCTTATCGTCACTCACTGATAATAAATTGCAGTTCCGAAACTTATTGCATAGGCGTGACCGATTCGGTCAAGTGCGACTGATGTTCTGTATTTTTGTAGAAGGGACGGGACTGAGCTCGGATATCTCTAACCATGTGACGCCAATGTTATCTAACAACTGAAGCATTGTGCCACTTTCTCGACAGGTCCATGATAGTTCGATTATCAATAGTTCATGCTCGATAATACCAACTTCATTTTACACAATAGCAAACACAAATGCAAAATATTTTTTTAATTATGTTTTTGCAGAGATGGAATCGAGCCATCGAAAGTCGAATCAAGCGACAAGAAATTCCAGTCAATTCGGAGGAGGCCACTCAACTCAAGGAAGAAAAAGTTTAGGACTGGATTGTGTAATAAAAACTAAGTCTGTCAGGCGGATCATAGTTGTACCTATAGCTCCGACATATTTTAAATGCCGACTGAGTATCCAAAAAACTTTTGACGTAGACTACTCTGTTTTAGTTGAAAATTTGGACTCCGACTCTCGAAATTCAGATTCGTGAAGTTTTGAATCACAACTCCAGTTCCAATTAGAATACTAACAAAACGATACTCGACTGCACAATCCTGGTTTGAACGAACACATCTTGATATTGTCATTGAATATGAATTGTCATTAAATTGTATTGCTATTCATTGAAGAAAGTAATCTAATCTAATGTTATGTTACCATTAGGCTGCGTGGGTGAAATAATCCCTAAAAAGGATATTATATTGAAATAAGCTACCGCTAAAAGTGCACACAATTTCATTGTTTTGACTTTGTATTGTATAGACTGGGCATCAGCAAATCACTTGTTAAGAGCAGACTTTTTCAGCCGATATTGATTTTTTAAGAGAAAAATATACAATACACGGCCAGTAATCCAACCATTTAAATCATTTACCAATTGCTTGCCAATTGCAGTATCCCTATTTGAAAATATTTTTCTAGATTGCAATTGCTTTCGTTGGATTTTTTTTGCCCGTAAGGATAAAGAAAATGATGCGATAAAAAAATTTCCGTGGCCTCCTTAGACCTTAGACTTGCCGTACTCGAGTTAGTATAAATTATAAAGAGAGCATAGTTATTGAAGCTAAAATTACAAAAGTTTCAATTTGTAATCAAATCCACTCTGATGTGCATGCAGACAACTCCCGCGTTCGCATGCGGCGTATCAATTTGAACAACTTCCCGCGTATGAATTTGGACGCGCAGTTTATTTTTTCGATAGATCGATAAATCAAAACCCTGGTTTCAAGTTGTTCTGGGTGTGTTCTATGCTTTGTAGTAGTAAAGAAGTGACATGTTTTTTTTTTACAATCAGGCCATGTATATTACGACAGGTGAAAAGAATAGAAACTGCGTTTCCAAATATTTTTAAAAAAAGACTATCGTATAGATATAGAATATAGATAAAACTCATTACATATGAAAAACTCGGCAATATATGCTTTCGTGGAATTGGAAACACTAGATTGTAGCAGTGTCAAAAATGCACAGTTATCGTAGTTTACGGGTTATGTTACCTAAGTAAATCATACGAGCATGCTTGTTATCGCACTGGTGATCATCCTGTGCAGTATTGGGTTTACATAGGTTAAAATACAAAGATTACATACAAAAGTCTTAGTTGGTCTCCTAAATGGTTTAGATGTACCACAAAATGACAATTATTACTCTTTTCACAATTTTATTTATCGCATGCTTAAATCCTTTGGGTCATAAAGAAATATCCATCTATAGCAGTGGTTGATCTTTGCGAACCTGTCGAATTCCTACGTTATTCTGCCAGCTTCCACCGAACCCCAAAATATTTAACAGTTAAAGTCAATCTTGTGCAAGGCTATAAAATGCAACCATCTTCAATTGCTTGCGTATAAATTCGATGCGTTACTATTTAGCATAGATTGAGTTTTTACATTTTAAGGGAATACACTCTCACAGGTTTATCTACTAGTTATTACATTAATATAGTTCGTCGTTTTTTATTTAGTTTCAAACTGCGGTGTTGCCTCTGTTTGAAAAATAGGCGAATATATAAATAGGCGAATTGCCTCTTGAAAGGGAGAAAACGGAGGACCGAACGAGTTAGGACAGAGTTGACTTGAGTATATTAGTTATTTATATTATACCGTGCTCTTAATAAATCTCTCGGAATTTAAGACTGTGATACTGTATTCGGAGAGTTGAACAAGTATATATAGCAGACGTATATGTATATATATATAGCACATCGTACTACGACGTTTATAAAGAAAGGGAGGAAGAATATTAATAAAACAACGGTACGATCCCTGCAGGCTGTTACCGCGATGGACCTTTTAGTCTGAAAATCTCACGCGCTTCGTCGCGTTCGATTTATATATAGATATAAGGTCTGTTATAGAATGACCTGTATTTTTGGTATTAGTTATGGTAATATAGTTAAATTGACAAATGTGAGTGATTTTACGAGGTATGAAAAATATGCAATTAATAAAGTTAGTTGGTTTTCTAGAAGATGATAGCAGAGCTTCATTAGTTATAGTCCGGCAGATATGGGGTCGTTTTGGGCCCAACCTTGTTTTCAGACATAAAGTTTTTTTAAATTTGTTATTATTCATCTAGGGGTCATTGTCCTTCATTTCTAGATGGGTGTGGAGTTTGCAACCTTGAGCAATTTTTTTTACGACTTGATATTTGTATTAGTGTTTTTTGTCAACACTGTGCACGATAATGGCGCACAACCTGAATCCTAACCTGGTATTTTACTATGTTCAGGTTGTGCGCCATCTTGGTGCACATACCACTGAAGCACAAAATTTACTAGAAAATAAAATCAATAACTTTTAGGTATTTGTTGAAAAAAATTGTACTGGAAATATTTTTAGGCGACCCAGCTTTGGGTCGAGAACCATAGATATGGACACACTGTTGAAACATACGCGTAAAATATGGAGTACTATTTCAAGATACCCGCTATTGTTGCAATTACCAATACAAGCCTGCTAATCCTTCTAATGCAGCAGTGGTTCGAGTGAATTGCGCACAGTTTGTGCGCAAATATACACCCGGTGTGGAGAACAGTCAATTATTTGTTAACAAGGATTGTTATGCAGCGGGATGATCACGACGATGCAGTGAAAGATAATGCCATCACGAGAACACGAATGATAAAATTGCTACATTTTATACTATATGCCTGGGAAAGAATGTAATTTATGTTTATGTTCCATGTTAATGATTTTCAAAGCTACCTAGGACCCTCAACACTTTTGCTTCTTCTCTTCTATAAAAATACATAGATATTATATATTCGCATTTCCACCTGTTTGTTCGTGCTCCCAGATAACCGATCCTCCAGGGAGGCTGGAGTACGCTTTTAAGAAACCCTGTCATGAACTAAAAGAGGCGACCGTGCTTCTCTTGCCTGTTGTCATGCTGTCCCTCGAATTCAGCTACAACAAAAAATTCACGAAAACGGGTTTTAGATTTCATGATTTCATAAATATTCTTGAACAATGAATGAAATACGGGTGGTAAATGCCAAGTCATTCCAACAACATGATCATGTTTTGCAACTTACAACCAATATTTTGTATGTAACTTTGTTCGACAGAGCTCCGAGAGTTATAACTACAAGTATCAAAAAGGCGAGGCCAAATAAGTTACACTACAACATAGTCAAATGTGCTGTATTTACGATAGATAACAGGTTTACCAAATAGCATTACATTTAAAATGGTAAAATGAAGATCAATTAAGCAATATCTACTTAGGACTTGGTGATATGCATCTGTTGATGATTTTATGTGTTTGTTTCGGAAGTTTAATGACAGAATCAATTGGGGTTGTTGGGGATGTTTCAAAAAAAGGTTGAATGGAAAAAAGATTTCACAAAATGTCAAGGTTTGAGAGTAGTAGAGAAGTAGAAAAAATACACCCATGTTTTTTTCGTTTGATAACTACGCCAAAGAACTTTTCCGATAAATATACGAAGCAATTGCGAGAGTAGTCAGAAATGCCAAGATGGGATTTCATCGCATTGCAAACCAATATTAGCGATTCTTAAATATATTCGCGCATTTCCATCTGAACTGCGTGGAAAAGATTATACCTATCTACACACTTGAAAAACTATGTCAGATGAGCGTCATATTATCGAATATCAATAAAGGAATAGTGCAATGGGGAAAAAAACATATAAGGCGTAACTTTCATATGCAATTAAATAATTTTATTGTAGTATAGCGATTACATAGGGAAACAAGGTCGTTGCTCTGATTCATTTCGTTTATGATATATTTAATCTTGCTCAGTGTTGCTTGTCTTTGCCGTTCTTCGTTAGTTAGAATGATCTGATTTTTACTGCATCAAGAGCTAAGTGTGTGTTTTTAATTTGTCTGTGTTCGGATTGAATTTTGCGTCTTTCAATGTAGCAATTGCCATTCAATGCATTGTGTGCTTTATTGACTTCTGAGGAGATCAGATCGGAGTGTGCTCAAATAAGCGTGAGTCAACCTAATAACACGCGAGCCAAACACGATATAGGGATAAGACGCTCTTTCTCTCTATAGTAGAATATATATATATTTGAAAACATTTCGTCACACCAACCGCAGTCCGAAACTTTTCGTCTCTGGCTGAGCTTAGATACCAATCGGCACTCATGTAAACTGGTAAGAGGCAGGTTTCATATTGAAACGCCACGGGATGGAGGACATGATATGAGTATCCATCCCCCAGGTGTCATTTGAGTGGGTACTGCTGTTTTTATTGCAGATAATACTGATCTTTTTGTATTGAAAATTTACTGGCATCACCGATTTAAGGATGTCAAATGATGGATATAAATAAACCAGTTGAAAATCAACACGCATTATATATTACAAAACTTACTTCCAACACGCGGTTTGAATGAATGAAAAAGCTGAAACTAGTATTCTTTAGAACAGCATACAAGTTCTATGGGATGAAATCAAACACAAAAGCTCGTCAAAAACCTATAGATCAACAAACAAGTGGAATTTGATGCATGCGCGCAAATTTATGCGCGTTACCACGTACAACCAAAGCACTCAAGAAAATGTGTGTGATGTACTAGTGATCAAAATGCTTGACTCAACTATGTTGGCATAACAGGTACACATCTCGGTTCCGCATACGCATACCCTCTAATTCCACAAGGATATCATAATTTGGCCAAAGTCAATGCTGAATCTGCAAGGTTTTGGTTCTTACAAAAGCAAACACGTTACACATCGTTAGATATTAGTGGATGGTTTTACATGGCCTTGTTTGGAGCGAAAGACGAGGTCGAATATTTCAATCCATTTGAACTAATAAAATATTTCTCAAGTCCCGAAGCTTCTAAGCAGGAAAAGGAAATGCCCGCGGCAACACAAATGTAGTTTAAAGCAGTGGTTCTCAACCTTTTTCAGTTCGCGGACCGGTAAAATTTCAAAATATCTTCAAAATTAACCAAAAATGTCATGAACACAAAACATAATTAAAGGAATGCAATTAGGACAAAAGTAGGCGGTGCAGAAAAGGACAATCCAATTTAGTAAGAAATTTGCTGCTGTCTTTTTGATATTAAACGTGTTAAACGCTGTTCTAATGAAATTTCTGCAATACGAAGTGGAGCTGTTTGAACTGAATATTATTTTGCTGTTTGTTTGCCTCCATTTACCTATCAAACCTCGCTAAATTATAGGCCTACTGTCAAATTACGGAACGTGCGAACTGAGAATTTTTCAATCGGGTACCGTGCTATGTAGGGTTGGGATCCCGGAAAATCCCGATCACGAAATCCCGGGTTTGGACTGTTATTTTTTCAATCCCGATTTCGCAATTATTCCCTAAAAATCCAGGGATTTTAAGGCTTTGTTATCCACATATAGATATTCTCACAAAATGTAGGATATGCCATTCTATTTAATACGTATTTTGAAAAAAAGCCATCCACGCTTACAGTTTGAGTCAGTCAGACTAAGTGGAATTATTGTGCGAAATTTTACCGAGGAATTATTATTTGACTAGTAGAATTGCCATTATTGCCGACTTATTTAATCATAATTTGAACATAAAATAGCATTCAGGATTTACGCAATGACTTTGCTGGGTTTTTATTTACTATTCAATACGAAAATAAAACAGCCACAATGGAAAAGTAATATCAAGAAATTATCGTCTTCAAAAATATCCGCATTCCGGCGTCAGAAATGATAATATTTTTAGCTTAAAATTAAGACAATTAATTCACAAACGGTAAAAAAAAAAATGAAAGCCGACCCAACAGATAAACATCGGAATAAAATCCCGAATTCAACCCGATATTTGACAATTCGTTAAAATTATTCGATTCGATGGAAGTATACTATTTTATCCACTCGATCTGTAATCACGCCAGCAATCTGGCGAAACGCGTGGTAGTCCAAACAGTGATGCAATGAAACTCAATAAAACCTTCATAAATTTAGTAAATTGCACTACGTATTGACGATTATTTTATATCTCGAACACAAAAACGGTCAATTTTTTCGGATAGTTTCTGATGATTTTAGAAATGGGAGAAACATATTGAATTGTAACAAAAATGAATTAAGTTGTGAAAAATTGTCACTACGTATGATTATAATAAGGGCGTAACGTGGAACGGCGAGCAAAACCGGCGGCGCGTTTGAAAGCCACGTATTACCCGTGCGGCCGCGCAACGTTTACAATAATGTGAGGTGCTCCGAAGACGCTCTCGTTTACATTAATGCAAGAAAACAGTTGTAATATCGGCAACTATTAACCATTTGTTCGCGTTCGACTATCGCACCCTTTCAAAGTAGAATATGTTCGTGTTTTGTGATAGGTGTGCCGCGAATATTTAAATAGCTATATAGTGTGTCGCGATAAGAAAAGGTTGCTAACCACTGCCCTAGATGCTCTAGTATTTCTGTGTCAATATTGCATGAAATAAATACGCGATTTTATTGTCATGCGAGTTGTTTCAATGTTTTACTTAATCTCGAAAAATCCGGGGAATATACGGTTCAATACCGGGATTTCAAAAACTGGCTCCGAAATCCCAACCCTGGTACTATGTGCTACCAAACTCCTCCGTTATGACGTTAGCCGCCGTTATGAGGTCATACATAGACTTAAAACAAACATCCAGCCGTTCAGGGCTTAGTATGGGCAGAGGACCTCTCACCAAGTTTGGTTGTTAGGCGAATACCGGTACTACGAATCAATAAGAGTTAAAAAATCATAAAATTAAATGCCGTCAATACTTTGTATTTTGCAATTTGCTAATAAGATATTTATATTGGAATATATTTGGCGGACGGCAGCAAGATTGCCGCGGACTGACTGTTGAGAACCACTGGTTTAAAGAGTGCAAATGGAAAGTGGCTAGATGCTGTAGATGGATCTTGTCTTATTTTAGTGAAATTATGAAATAATTGTTTTTAACAAAAGGATGCTCCCGAAGTATACGTACAAAGATGACGCACAACCTCAACATTGTATGTGTACCAGGTTAAGGTTCAGGATGTGCGTCATCTTGGTACAAATACTTCCGGAGCGGCTTAAAATTCACTTAAAAAAATCGCTCAACAATATGTACTCCACACTCACCATGGTATCATTACTTATCGATTTTAATCGGTAAGTATGTTGATAGGTATTTGTCTGTCTGTTTGTCTGTCTGTTAGATGCACGCGATATCTCACGAAAGCGAGATTGAATCTGCTCCAGATTTGGCATGTGCATTTATCATATGTCGTACCATAAGCCTATTGATTTTGGATAAATTATGTAGTATAATTAGGGAGTTATTAATTTATTAGCGATGGGACACAAGGTGTCACTATGAAGTAAGAGCGCTGTTTTGGGGGATACCCTAACTTTCGATCAATAAGTCTTCGGTCTCTGACCGTTATTCTCGTTTTTTATGTCATCGACATTTTATCTAAACAATAAAAAAATCTTTATTCCTCAAAACGAACTTCGGCCACGATTCTGGACTATTAATTAATTATACTCTACATCCGGACGTTATCAAATTCGTATGTAAGCTTTCGCGATGTTGTAATGCTACTGTGCTTAGTAATACATGGTGGCACTACCTCATTTTTCAAGCTGATGATACCAATATGATCTAACACATAACCCTTGGATCACTTCCGTATGATTATTGCTGAGAAAAAAGTAGATTTCAGTCCACAATGCTTTGCGACATCCGGATACATCAGAACTTTCATATCATATTTTTTTATTAGTATATATATATAACATGTTATTACTTCTCATCCGCCATATCGAATGAAGTTTTATCAATTCTTCTTTTTAGATTTGAGATTTTTAGTTAATTTACCACCTAACGCTGTCGGAGGCCACTCATTCTCTTCAGAAATTATCCTTAGAATGACTTCAGCCATATCATGTAACCTGCGTAAATGTCGGCCATTTTTTCTTTCTACATGGCGACCCAAAAAACGGAACTGTGCATGATCGTACCCAAAAGTTTCAAGAATCTAGGAGGCCTTGCACAAAAGTTTATTTTAGAATATGTTCCAAATCACCTCCTATAGGCACTGGAGACAGACTTGCATCTCTTGCGCCAAAATTGTCAATAACTAACACGCACTCCTCAAAGGGGGTTATGACTGTGAGTTCACCAATGTTCTGATACACACACCTTGTCCTTTGAATACTCCCGCAGATAAAAATCCAAAGTGTTAAAGTTCAATGATTTGATATGTCAGCCTTCGCTGCGTCATTTTGGAACCACTGAACGACTCAATCAATCTTTCTTCGTCGTCCAAATGATGTCCAGCGCTTCCTCATACCGCCACACACTATTTCATATTCATCGCTTGATTTTCGTCTTTAAACCAATACGGACCACTTATGCAATGTTCGATCCATGCTGCACACTTTATATATTGAGTATATCAGTCTCTGTACGAATTTTCTTGGAGGCGTTGTGCCCAAGTGATCAGTATTTTCGATATTGACATGTCCATACAGAAAAAAGTGCGATTCAGCAGGAAACTATGTGGGTGATTGAAAAATTTGCGCAACGGATACTGTCTGTCTCCATTGATAAGGGGGTCATTTGGAACATATTCTAGATCTAGAGAAAACTTTTGTGCAAAACGTCCTATATTCATGAAACTTTGGGATACATGCATACACAAACATAAATTTAAGTGTTAAAAAATCAAATGATTTACTCCGTTTTCAAGAAAGTAATGGAGAAATTTATGGTTCCGTTTATTTTGGGATCACCCTGTAAAGTACACTATATGTATGCATATATGAATGACTTGACTGTGGTGTATGCCAACCCAACTATTTATATTTTTTATAAACTTTTAAAAGCATAAAGAAAGTGTTTTTTTAATAATTGCAGCGTAAGTGGAATTCTGAAAGTTTGAGGAGTATGTGATCGCGTATATAAAATCGATAAGATGGAATTCTGAAAGTTTGAGGAGTATGTGATCGCGTATATAAAATTGATAAGAAAGGGGATGGTTGGAACATGCATGGAGTCACATTTATTGCATACAAAAGGTCGATTATTAAGATGGATGAATACCAATGTTCAGTTATAATCCTATTATTTCCATTGTTATGTTTTGCTTTCAATACGCCGATAAGGGAATTTTATTTACGGGTTTGAGAAAACCGATTGGAATTCAAGTCTTGGTCAGTTTGACATTTTCAAAATATCTAAATGCTTTATTTTAAATAATCAACCTAACATACGAATATATATATTTGCGTCTTTCTATCGTTTTTAAAATTTAATTTTCGAACTTTTTTATATAGATAGGCTCTGTTGTATTGGATATAATAACCATTGTGCACCATGGGAGAAGGCAACATCAATAGATGTAAAAAGAAAGAAAAATGTGAAACGACACGATATCCAAGGTTTGTAACTTTACAATTCTGTTTTTTTTTCTATGATGATATTATCCGCCTAATTAAGACTTTAAAAATTGTTTAAATGCCCTTAACATAGTATTCTTTAATGAATGCTTGACTGTAAACGATTTTGTGTTTGAGATAAATATCATTCCTTCCACTTATGAAGACAACAATTGATAATTTTGTATCGAGCCCGGTTTATATATATTTATTTAGAATAACAAGCTCTCGGGAACAACGAGAGTAATTATTGCCTTTGTCTTAATTTCAGAATGACGTGGAAGCGGCCATTGGAATTCTTAATGAATATAGTGGGATACACTATCGGCCTCGGAAACATTTGGAGATTTCAATATCTTTGCTACAAAAATGGAGGAGGTAAAAACAGTTTTCGGAAAAGTAAAGGGTTATCTCATCTTTGTACAATAGAAAGCTATTTCGTAGAGTGTGTGGTGCACGCCTTTTTTAACGTGGAAACAGCATAGATTTTTAACAGACACGCGAGCAATTTTACAGAGCGAACATCCGCATTTTAAGCTCAAAACAATACTAGTGTCCATGCTGTGATGTCTTGGGTCCCGATCATACAGACCGATAAAAGCTTGGAGCAATTACGATAAAAGAGTCATGACATCATATATTTTAGGTGTGGTTTTGCCAGTTGGCACCTATAAACTGGTTTGCATGTTTGAAAGCGTCATTTTTATTTAAAATATTCTACCGTCTGTTATTTATAGGAACCGGTAGAAAAGTTTACTCTATTCTATAATATTTATTTACGGACTTTTGTTTGATTGCTGCAATCAAACTGAAACTCCTAGAAAGACGAAATGATCATTGAGGTACCGCTATATAATTTATACTTAAATTTCGGAAACAGAACTAAAAACTGACAAATAGCATATAATACTATGCAAACGAGGTAGGTAATGTTTACAACCACGCTTGAAAATGTGTGTGAGTGACCAAAGTGTCTGAACGGCTACAAATTGTCTATTGGTACGTCACATTTCGCATCTGGCGAAAGTAGACAAAGAAGGCAATGCTCGAGAAGACATCCGTATAAAACACCTACTTTTGCATAAAGTTATTATAAAACTAAAAATGCAATTATAATGTTAATAACAAGAAAGCAGTAATCAAATATATGGACACGGAGGCCCCATTTAGGAACCGGAGGAGTAAACCTCAGCTGAGCGCCAGTTTTCTAAGAATATTGCATGACAAGCGTATCTGCAGCGGTTAAGCGTGGCGCGATAAAGTATTTCCAGATGATTTAAAATGAGAGCTATGCTCAAATATATATGACACAGACAGCAAAACGAAATATTTTGTAATTAATTACCCGAAAATTATATGCGGTAACTTACCATTACGGTACTTGTATCAGGGCACCTACTGGTAACGGAACAGGAACTTCCTAGCATTTCCAGGTCCTGTGACGATGATTCATTCTTCATGATTCAGCTTCAACGTGAAGTGAAATACCCATTGATCCACTTCTGTATTACCAGATCAGGTACCGCAGTCTGACGTACCCATAAAAAAAACTTTCCACTTTCGCTAAGCACGACCTTCGCTGATAGGAGTTCGAGGAACCGCCACAAGGTGCGCAAATTTTAATGACGTCATTGCACGCAAAACGAATTTCATAGATAGAGAAAAGAAAAGTATTCTAGCGAAAAATGCAATCTTCAACCACTAAAATTGTCACAGCAATTGATTTGTTAATTAAAGAGAAAATCAATTTTTTCATAACGATTGGAAAACTTTAACATAAAGAACAACAACAACATAATAAAAAAACGATCCATAGGTACACTCCGTGTCCAAAATACGATTCATAGGTCCACTCTGCGTCCAATAAAACCATAAAATAAAATTTTGTGTGGAATATTGGAACTCAGAAATAAATAAAAGTGATCGCATCACCATCGATATATACCATTCATTCATACTATACCTGTGTGATATTGAGTTAAATCAATGCAACTGTATTTCAGGAGCATTTCTCATACCATACTTTCTCGTAGCAGCTCTATGTGGCATACCTTTGTTCTTTCAAGAAATTGCTATTGGACAATTCACAAAACAAAGCTGTCTCAACGCATGGAATATAGTTCCGGCGATGAAGGTCTGTAAATATACTTTATTTTTTCAATTGCAAATTTCGTACAATTTTATTTCAACAAAATATTGGATATAACTTCGCAGGTCGGTCATTTAAATTTACATATTCATTTTACCTAGAATTGTTACCCCACCTGAGAAAAATAATTTAGCTCATTCTACAGAGCAATAAGGTTAGACTATTCTACGAAGTGTTCCAATGGAAACGGAATTGTAGCTAGAACATGAAAGTATTTTATATACATATATTTTCTCTTTTCTAGCTGAATTATTACTCCGGAATTATTCATTTTTGCAGGGTATCGCTTATTCACAACTCATTATTGCTTGGTATTTCCTCAGCTATCTCGCTGTGGTGATGGCTTGGATAACATTTTATCTTGTTAATTCGTTCACTACAGAAGATTTACCTTGGTCAACTTGCGGTGAGAAATAGTACTTAGTTTTATTTTTCTTAAATATATATATGGGAAGATCCGAGCTAGTTGTAAACCCTAACAGAGACCAACCCGACAAAATGAATTCGCCAAGGAGACCAGAGACTTGAAAGTCCCAGTCATTCTATCATATTTATTTTTGGACTGATTTTTGATTCACTCTTAGACAATAGTTTGAAAAAGCCAAAGCACCAATGGGTCGGAATCGTGCATTTCTCCTCTGAATTACATTTAAGGAGAAGAATGCCAGAACTGTTTTAAATTATTTTTAACTGTTTGTTATTATAACATAAGTCACTAAATTATTAAATTTTCTGCACCCCATGTTATATTCATGCAGTCCGGCGGCTACTTGTGCCGTGTAAAATATAATATGATTACATTAACAATCGGAGAATTTGACTCTTTAACACCTCATAAATTTGCCTCTGGAAAACGCTGAAAACAACCGCCTTAGATGATTGATACAAATATTTGTTCATGTATATAATATGCATATAGATAACTTGCAGCAATTTTACGTACACGTAATTGATATGAACATGCTCTAATGCTGTGCACACATTAGCTTGTCTAACTTAAACTGAATTCATCAATATTGTGATATACTGAGCGAACTGCCTCACTCTCCATGATCTATCACAGCTCTCAATATAAAAGTCTACTAGAATGATACCTGTTGGGATGCGCCGGCCAAATATTAATTCGGGTTCAGCAATGTTCCTAAAAATTAAAGTAATATGAAAAGTTTAGAAGTACTATAAAGTCGTAAACACACTGAGACGATACACATGTTTACGTTTAAATTGACACCGCCCGAGAAACTGTAGGAATTATGATGTTAAAAATATTTTTTATGGGTACATGCGGCTTTCCGTATCATAAGTAGGGCGGGGCATTTCGAATTGAATAATCAATATTTCAAATCCGTTCAGACGGAAATTTTGAATTGCCACCATTTTGGTTTCATTTTGTACGCCCGCCGGTCTAGGTTCTATTGAATCCATATTTTTAAAATGCAATTCTGACATGGGACTCTTCTCTCGAGTGAGTTGATGGAACACGTTTCTTATTGTGTGTGAAGTGAATACTTAGCGAACTGAATGATAGATTACTACATGTTTTCACTTAATGTGTCTGTAATACCCATTATAGTAGGTCGGGGGAAGTTTCTGTTCCAGCTGAAACAACTCTCCCTCAAAAAGCCCTTTATGTTGCCGAGTCTGAAATGTAAAAAGATGCCGCGCATTAGCACGATTAATCTTTAGCGATTGCCAAGCGCGAGATGTCGCTATTAGAAGAATTTTATTTTGCCTGTATATTATACCCAGGGGGTCTAATTTACCCCGTCCTACTATATAATAAAATAACAATATCAGACAGAACTTCCAATTATTCAAGATTCGATTTAAAAAAATTTCGATTCTGAAATTATCAGATATTCGAAAATGCAAGGAGCCTCCGTCAAAAAACGTCGAAATGTATCTTCGACCTCATGCACAGGTGACAGTCTAAAGTTATGGGTATAACATTCCCTGATGTATCTATCATTCTTGGTTGTCCCATCATGAATTGCCAATGCTTGAAATTGGTTTGTAGATTGTCATGGAATTGAAAATCGGTTACCAGTATATATATTACTTGTTACTACTTTGACCCAAGCATCTGGGTTCCGCTCTACCAAAGGACTCTATCAGACTCTATAGTATTGAATAATAATATAAATCTGATTTAGGTTTTAGAGACAAACGATCGCTTCACGTCCGACCCTGCCGGTGCATGCATTTAAACCTTTTTTGACAGGTTTGACTTATTCGAGGTTCTCTGTTTTCATGAAAGATAACATACAAAGGATACATGGCAAATGTACCATGATTCAACTCATAACATCAACTAGTGATGAATTGTTGAATGAATGAAGTTAGTCTCGAGTTATATTATATAGCAAAACTCACCTACCATTAATATGTCGATCAAATGAATAATCAATTATTAATGAATGATTTATTTAATTAATGATTAATATGCGTCTAAATGAATATTTGATTGCAGATAATGAATGGAATACAGATATGTGCCTATCAATCGCTCACTTGGAAAATCATAATACTTCCATCGCAATTGAAAACGTAACAATGAATGTTACTTCTCCAACCAACGAGTTTTGGGCGTAAGTGTATTTAAAACATTAAATATTAGAAGGTAAGATAGAAAAAATATGCAATACTCAGCGACTCTGCCACACATAAATGGATTCTAATGAAACCTGTGAAAAAAACTATATGGTTTTCATGAATTTGCTACTGCAATTGACAGCAAATCAATACATTTCTAATTCAAGATCAGATCTCATAATCTAAGCCAGGGGTGTGCAAACTGCGGCCCGAAAAGAAAAATGGTGTGGCCCGCTGAGAAGTGCCAATTTTTAATAGTGTGACCGCGAAACGAGTTTTTAGTTTGTTAATTAATATGGTATGTGAGAGCAATTCCAATTTTTTTTCGTCTCAAAGCCTATACCAGTACCTGAGTGCCCCTGTTATATTCGAAAAACTAGCTCGCACAATACACAATGTTATAAAAACGTGTTTCTCACTGAATTCGTTTAAAGTTGGTGTGACAATAAATTTGAATAGCAGTTTTTTTTAAATTTATGCGTTTAACTCAACATTTCTGCAAGGAAGAAGGAAGAAAATTCCGTAATTATGGACACATTTACCTGTAAATGCCCTAATCCGTTTTAAGCCCCCACAAAACTCGGACATATATTTATATAAATTCTAATAATGGGTAAAACCCGTAACATATGCATGTTAGAATTAAATTACTGCATAATAAATAGAAAAAGTGCACATGGAAAGAAAAAAAGAACAGAGAAATACCGAATAAAACTACGAACGGTATGTTGTTTACCTTTGACATTGGCCGACCAGGCTAGGCTAAACGAAGAACGCGGAGAGGGAGGATGGCGGTCGGTGGGAGGGGGCGGCAAAAGTTGATTGCTGAGAAAGGAACTAATGTACGAAAATTAGCACACACACATGAAATTCAAAATTTTTATTCATTTTTCCATCGTATCATGGTATTCTTACTGAATCCCGCTAGCAACACATCGTACGTACCCGCGAGAAACAAACGTGCCAATGGGGTGGAAGATAATTTATTGCCACGCCGCACTCCGCTGCCTTCGATTACGTAAAAATGAAATAATTATAAAATGTTTTGAATCAAAACGTGGACGGCGGCGCTATAGGATATGTGCGCCATATTCGGTATTCTAATAAACAGGAAAACGATATTCAATGGTCGCGATATTCGAATATTAAATTAAAATTGGCCTCTTCTTCTTCAAGCACTGCAATAACTTAACGAAAATAAACAAATATCACTACACGTGTTTTTGGCCTTTCGTATGCATAAAATCCTACGTTAGCCGAAGCAATATTTTTACGAGAAGAATTTTCGTAAGTTGGATTTTTCGTATTCAGAACCTTTCGTAGGTAGACCCATTTTTTTCCTATCTGGCCCTCCTGTAATAAAGGTTGCACACCCCTGACCCATTACCATTATCTTCCATTTATAATTTTTGCTTGTTCAATAATCGGTACTCTCGTAGTGTGTGCACCAGATTATGGTCAGGCTATAATTTTATTCCGATTTTCCTTATTTTAGTTCTATTACGAGTTCGGGGACTGTCTGCGTTAGCTAAGTTAATATACCCCCCGCCCACAGGCTTTCGTCCCTTCACACAATTTGACGTAAAGTAGGCGAACAAAATCAGTTACCTTCATATTGGTACACACACTTCTCCCAATAATCTACATTTTAGAAACCACGTATTGAGGCGAACAGATGGAATTCATGACATGGGTAGTTTTACAAACTGGAGAATGATGTTGTGCTTCCTATTTTCTTGGTTTGTCAGCTATTTGTGTGTTTTGAAAGGGATACGAACAACGGGGAAGGTTGGTGAATGATGCGAATAAAGAAATTTATTTAGGAGTTAAACACATTTATATCAACATCACCTATCTACTACATTGCTTTTTCACATGCGGAATTGGCTTCTACTTCAAGTTTATATATAAGTGCATAAAACAGTAAAATTGCGACTGATTATTAAAGATGCACAAACAACAGTTTATTCGTTGTTATATTCGTTACAGGTAGCGTACGTAACAGTCACCGCACCTTACATCATGATTCTGATTCTTCTTATCCGTGGAGCAACACTCGATGGAGCTGCTAGCGGTGTCTGGTATTTCATCACTCCTCAACTGGAACGCCTAGCCGATGCATCAGTATGTATATTTAGATTTGAAATTAGAACATGGACGGGTTGAAAATGATTAACTTGAAGAACGCATAGTTTTTTTCAAAGTGTATTTAAAATCAGCCATATTTAGTCCTGAATAATCAGTAAATATAGCCTATCATACGTATCGCGAATGTTTTTTGATGTGATACAATTCACATTTTTGTTTTTTGTAGGTGTGGTTAGACGCTGGAGGACAAGTTCTTTTTACTCTCGGTGTGTGTTTCGCTGTACTTTGTGGGCTTGGTAGTTACAATGAATATCATACGGACTGCTACAAGTAAGCTATGCTCAAGAAACATATATTTCGAACTCATTCTAAAATTGCGTAAAGGATAAGAAATTTGATTATGTTCATGAAGACACACACACATTCTCAGCATCGGATTGAACATTTGTTGTAAAGCTTGAAACAGGATCACACTTTTCTGAACCCATATATACTGTAATCTATACTTTATACACAGAAATTAAATATTGTCTTTTGTTACTCCAGATATTCAGTTATTTGCGTTTGCATTTGTTGTGGAACATCTATATTCATTGGATTAGTAATATTCTGCTTTCTTGGTCATATGGCTCATGTGCACGGCAAGGACATATCGGAAGTCGCGGAAAGCGGTAAGTTGGGTGAAACTTGTTTTTTATGCAATTCCTGTGCGCCCTAACAGATTACAAAAATAAAGTTTTTCACATGCTAAGTATGGTTTCTACAGAAAATCGTGTAAAACACTGTTGTAGAAAATATTCAATCACATCACATATTTTTGGAAAAAAACTGATTCTAAAAGAATGGGGGGATAAAAATTTAGATATTTGTTAACAAGATGCGATTAGATCACGAGAAAGTGTTTATATTTTAATTCGGTTTAAAATTATTTTATCTAGTTCACTATATTCCACTTCAGAGCATTATGACAACCTTACGTGTTAGATAACGTGCTTCAGACTTTTTTTGCAATTTGTTATGATAATCTTTCTTTCAGGTCCTGGACTTGTCTTTGAAGTATTTCCTGCTGGTTTAACTTTATTACCATTACCACAAGTATGGTCCATAATATTTTTTGTCGCTCTATTTTTCGTTGCAATTGATACATCGGTGAGTCGATTTTTTATAGCTTAGAGACCTTGATTTTTCCAGAAAATAAAAGATAAGCCTAGTTAAGCAATTCTCATCTTAATTAAACCATAAAGTAGTTTTCAAAACAATTATAATCTACATTTTTTCTATCATATCAGCACAATAGAATACTTCACAATCCAGCAATTTTTTGTATTTTTGAAGTCATTACTCACTATATAGACGACAAAGCAAATTGGCCTATACGCTAATGTCCAACAGACATACACAAATGGCCTTTTCATGTCCATCAAACCGGTCCAGTGAGGCTATTCGATACGGAAAAACACAAACTTGACACCTTCCACCACACGATTCATACAACAAATGACGGTCCTCGTTACTGTTAGTATGACAATAACAATAATCCAGTGCGTTTAAATTTTGTCAATCAAACATTTTGTGTGAAGTGAGCTAATATAAACAGAAACACTTTTGTGCTTCAATGCCATCCTACCACTGCGGCTCTAACAGCATTAAAGCTTAAAATGTGTATGTACACTACCGGTGCCCATTAGAATGAGGTATGGTGTAATTCCGAAAACTTTATTAATGTGAACTACAGATCCACGAAAGTTGTACCGCACACAGTTTATAACTATAAATCTTTAAGACATTAGATATAATTTTGTATTTCAAAACAGAACCACATATCATGCAGTTACGTCGCACCGGCATCGAACCAATACCAGTATTTTGAATTTGTGTTAACAGTAACCAGTACAAAATAGATGTCAAAGCGCAGAAGAGTTTTAAATTGCACTTGCTATGATATGGCTAAGATTATATTTGTCAAAAAACAGTTCACTTAGCAAGCATAAACAAGCACCAAGACGAAGCAACTGAGCAAGAACGGCGCAGGCAACTTCCAACCCTCCTTGACAGGTGGTCCATTTTGAAATTACGCACAAACCACTGGAGCGTGAAATGTTTTTTTTTCGTCTGCTGCACTGGTTGGTTTTAGTGAACATGTAATCATGACTATATACGACTTAATACGAGATTCACCGATAATTAGGGTTACCATATTTTTGTGACATCAAAGTGGGACGCCTGTAAAGACAACGACCCCTTAGCTGTGATTTTGTAACTTTACATTTTCCGATTTTACTGCTTAGGCCAGGGGTCGGCAACCTACGGCGGCCCGCGGAGCACTATAATCCGGCCCGCGACGCTTCACTAAATTATAGTAACAAAACATCCGTTTATAATTAGGGTTACCATATTTTTGTGACATCAAAGTGGGACGCCTCTAAAGACAACGACCCCTTAGCTGTGATTTTGTAACTTAACATTTTCCGATTTTACTACTTAGGCCAGGGGTCGGCAACCTACGGCCTGCGGGCCGGATCCGGCCCGCGGAGAACTATAATCCGGCCCGCGACGCTTCACTAAATTATAGTAACAAAACATCCGTTTTGACGAATATATTCTTTAGACTAAATTATATTATAACCTAACAATTATATAATTCACAATTACTCGTTTAATGAGCATATAATTTAATTATAATTAGGCAAATGGCAACAAACCGCAGAAAAGTTGATGCTAAGTGCAAAGGGTTCAATGGCGCTGAAATTATTGAAATGGAATTTTATGAGATGAAATGAGGAAATGAAACTATTCTATTTGAGAGATGTATCACTGCTTGATTTTTATTATGAAAAGTACCATCCGTTACGTTTTTAAACTTCCTAAAAATATGTGTGGTCCGCCAATGACTTGCAACCTTAATTTTGGCCCGCGAGCGACAAAAGGTTGCCGACCCCTGACTTAGGCCTATATCCGGCTGTTAGCTGACTTAGCTATCCCGGCTGTTTTCATCCACCATATTGTCATCGAGAATTCATGCGCATATTCTCTGTCCAAATATCGGGTCCAGTGAAAGGAGTTGACGTTAACGATACCGGTACAAATAATTCGAATTTAGACTAATTAATATTGATTTTACATACGATACGTTTTCTAAAAATGTTAGCCGGAAACAACGAAACAAACGCATTCACCTTCGGTAAGTAGGCTAGCGCTGCGCCACACAGAAACAACAGTAACAAGAACATGTTTGTGTATTATGCTGGATGGCTGAACGCCAAAGCGGGACATTTTTCGCTGACTTGTCGGGACGACGGGACAAGACGCTAAGAAGCGGGACTGTCCCACCTAAAGCGGGACGTGAGGTAAGCCTACCGATAATAATTGTTTTTGTTTGTTTAGTTTGGAACTATAGAGGGTTGTGTCGCAATATGTGAGGATATAAGCCCTCGTTGGTATGCCCGCATGGGACCTCGATTATTCCGAATGATAGTTTGTCTTATCCCGTTTCTTCTTGGTATTCCGATGCTTTTTGACGTAAGTTATGCATAATTCCTTTCTAGAATATTGCATTTTGCGATTTGTAAACTGCAAACTATAATTTATATATTTATTTTGAAGTATTGTACAATATGACTTTCTTAAATCTTTTTCATTTTTGTCTTTGAATAATTAACCGCAATTCTACTCCTACAATTCAAATTGAGTTATTATCAATAAACAATTATGAAATTAGTGAAATTTATTTTTACTTTCTGATATATATTGCAACGTAAACTGTTTACAGGGTGGAATATATGTTTTTGAGCTTTTCAATTTGTATGGAAACAGCGGCATTTGTATCTTGTTCGTGGCGTTTTGTGAAGCTGCAGCACTGGCATGGATTTACGGCGTTGAAAGATTTTTTGATGACGTTAAGTCAATGATTGGATATTATCCCAACGTTTACTTTCGATACTGTTACAAATATTTTGTTCCAGCTATAACTCTGGTAAATGGGATTTTTTGCATTTATAGTAAAATAGTTTTGTTCAACAATTCGCATTCAAAGTTCCATAATATTTTTCGCCGTTTGCTCTATGAAAATCTATTATATATATCATTTTATATATACATCAATTCATGACATCAATGGTGTGTTTCCATAATTGATTTAAAATACATTTATTCAGCTTGTTAGAAATTTAATTTACTAATATTCTTTTGCTCGTCCTTCCCCGTTGCGGATGTCTTTATTACATTCCGTAATACTTACTTGTATGTCTTTCAGCTCATCTTCAGTGTATATTGTGTAACATATTCTCCAGTAAAAATCGGTGACTATACATACCCGGAATGGGCAAATGCGATTGGGTGGATCCTCATGCTACTTGTTATCGGTCCAATTCCATTGTTTTTTTTGATGACATTGAAAAAAGAACACGGTACATTGACGGAGGTTAGTTTGATGTTAATACGCTTTTCACACAACTATCGGTATATAAATGTATATAAACAAAAGGGTCATCAAAATTGTGAGCAAATATAAAAAAGTGGAAAATGCAGTACAGATATATAAAAGTCTAAAATGTAGTACAGTTTGATAGCTTCTTAATTTTTCTAATAATTATCTATCTCTAGATACCGATGTTGTTTGGGTAACTTGTCAAAACCATACCTTATCGTCACTCACTGATAATAAATTGCACTTCCGAAACTTATTGCATAGGCGTGACCGATTCGGTCAAGTGCGACTGATGTTCTGTATTTTTGTAGAAGGGACGGGACTGAGCTCGGATATCTCTAACCATGTGACGCCAATGTTGTCTAACAACTGGAGCATTGTGCCACTTTCTCGGCAGGTCCATGATAGTTCGATTATCAATAGTTCATGATCGATAATACCAACTTCATTTTACACAATAGCAAACACAAATGCACAATATTTATTATTATGTTTTTGCAGAGATGGAATCGAGCCATCGAAAGTCGAATCAAGCGCCAAGAAATCCCAATCAATTCGGAGGAGGCCACTCAACTCAAGGAAGAAAAAGTTTAGAACTGAATTGTGTAATAAAAACTAAGTCTGTCAGGCGGATCATAGTTTTACCTTTAGCTCCGACATATTTAAAATGCCGACTGAGTATCCAAAAAACTTTTGACGTAGACTATTCTGTTTTAGTTGAAAATTTGAACTCCGACTCTCGAAATTCAGATTCGTGAAGTTTTGAATCACAACTCCAGTTCCAATTAGAATACTAACAAAACGATACTCGACTGCACAATCCTGGTTTAAACGAACACATCTTGATATTGTCATTGAATATGAATTGTCATTAAATTGTATTGCTATTTATTGAAGAAAGTAATCTAATCTAATGTTACCATTAGGTTGCGTGGGTGAAGTAATCTCTAGGATAATATAATCTCTAAGGATATTATACTAAAATAAGCTACCGCTAAAATTGTACACAATTTCATTGTTTTGACTTTGTATTGTATAGACTGGGCATCAGCAAATCACTTGAAAGAGCAGACTTTTTCAGTCGATATTGATTTTTTAAGAGAAAAATATACAATACACGACCAGTAATCCAACCATTTTAATCATTTACCAATTGCTTGCCAATTGCAGTATCCCTATTTGAAAATATTTTTCTAGATTGCAATTGCTTTCGTTGGATTTTTTTTTGCCCCGTAAGGAAAAAGAAAATGATTGCGATAAAAAAATTCCTGTGGCCTCGTTAGGCCTTAGACTTGTCGTACTCGAGTTAGTATAAATTATAAAAAGAGCATAGTTATTGAAGCTAAAATTACAAAAGTTTCAATTTTTAATCAAATCCACTCTGATGTGCATACAGACAACTTCCGCGTTCGCATGCGGAATATCAATTTAAACAACTTCCCGCGTATGAATTTGGACGCGCAGTTTATTTTTCGATAGTTCGATAAATCAAAACCCTGGTTTCAAGTTGTTCTGGGTGTGTTCTATGCTTATTGCTTTGTAGTAGTAAAGAAATGACATGTTATTTTTTTTTTACAATCAGGCCATGTATATTACAACAGGTGAGAAGAATAGAAACTGCGTTTCCAAATATTTTTTGAAAAAACTATCGTATAGAATAGTGATGAATCTCATTACATATGAAAAACTCGGCAAAAATATGCTTTCGTGGAATTGGAAACACTAGATTGTAGCAGTGTCAAGAATGCACAGTTATCGTAGTTTACGGGTTATGTTACCTAAGTAAATCATACGAGCATGCTTGTTATCGCACTGGTGATCACCCTGTGCAGTATTGGGTTTACACAGGTTAAAATACAAAGATTACATACAAAAGTCTTAGTTGGTCTCTTAAATGGTTCAGATGTACCACAAAATGACAATTATTACTCTTTTCTCAAATTTATTCATTGTATGCTTAAATCCTGCGGTGTTGCCTCTGTTTAAAAAATAGCCGCTAGTGTTCCCTAAAAATAAACGCGAACGAAGTTCATTTTGCACGCCTGTCCCATCTCATCCCATAGCAATTTACACCATGTAATTCCCATTGGAATAAAATTCAGTAAAAATTGTTAAATTTAGTAAATACTAAATCTACTAAATAGGACTACATGTACAAAGAGACATGCAAAACGACAAAATTTATTGACCCTGTTAAATATAAAAATTCAGAACTATCATATAACTGATAATAACAAGAGAGCTATGCTCAATTATACGGACACGATGTTCATGTGGAAATGTTTTACCATCAATTTCTCGAAAGCATATGGTATCCTAAACGAACCTGTCTCACGCGGACTGTCCTAGCATTTTCAGTTCATGTGAAGATAATCTATGCTACTTGATTCAGTTTTCATGTTCCCATGAGTAAAAAATAATACAGCGAAATTTTGGTTGAAATATCAGATTCATAGAAAATTTAGGAATAAATACTAGCCTTCTAGCGAAAAATATAATCTTTCACCGCTGAAAATTTCAATGCAATTGGTCCAGTAGAAAAAGAGAAAACCGCCCTCTTCATAACGATAAGAAAGAAAAATCCTAACAACAAGAGCAACAATAAGAACAACAACATCATAACAAAACGATCCATCGTTTCTCACCACGTTAAATAACTCAAAAAGTCCGTGTCCCACGAGAAATACAAATGTGTGCTATCCCATCCCATGGACAAGCCTGCAAATAACAGTCTTTTGAAATCACTTCCACAGTACCAGATAGATCTTGTGATGAGCTATCTTAAATTCATAACGATATCTTAATCTTCATAACGATATATCTTAATCTTCATAACGATAAGAAAGAAAAATCCTAACAACAAGAGCAACAATAAGAACCACAACATCATAACAAAACGATCCATCGTTTCTCACCACGTCAAATAACTCAAAAAGTCGGTGTCCCACGAGAAATACAAATGTGTGCTGTCCCATCCCATTCCATGGACAAGGCTGCAAATAACAGTCTTTTGAAATCACTTCCATAGTACCAGATAGATCTTGTGATGAGCTATCTTAAATTATATCACATCTACCTTATGACCTCGTCAACTTGTTGTTGTTGTTGTGAAAAATAAATTGATTTTCTAAGCAGCTACTAGGGACATGATATTTATCAACATTTTCGCTGTTCTTAGAGCCACTCTTATATTAGAGCAGCGTGTACATGCTTCACATGACATCCGTTGCAATTATTTTACCAATTTGCTGTCATTGTGGTAATTATAGTTACAGTGCCTATTTTCAATTGTATTCATTTATTTGTGTTTTGAGAAGGGACCTCATGGCGCTGGAGTAAAAACGAATCGAATTACCATTCTATCCTCAAACTCCTTTTGTTTCTGGCGTCATTAGAAGTTGCTTTTCTTAGCACCAAACTTTAGTACTTCAAAAAATTTGAGTCGATCTCGGTTGTAGACAGGTTGGCCACCCTTGACATAGATGCTCAATGCTAACAGGGTGTACATGAGAGACAGAAAACAAAATTGGAAATTAATACCACAAATACGCGGCAACAGTGGTAATGACCAAAGCTAATAATGCGAATGTAATATATATTTCGGTGTACATTTCTTTGACATAAGCATCATGTCTTAGGCGGTGTGCAGTTATCGCTCCATTCTTATTCTCATCTGGTAATACGTGCCCCAAGAATTGGCATGCTGAACCCCAGCTTTCTTTAACATTGGAAATGAGCAAATGGTCCCGAGGTGCATTCTGTCAAAAATGATTATAGTTATGAACAAATATGTTGAACATTAATTGTAGAACATTGAACAATAGTCATCAATATCTCAAATTGACGAAAGTCGTATATATTCTATAAATTAAATCACAGTTACCTCTATCACATCGTTATAGTGATCTTCGTAATATTTAGCATACTGATCTTGTTCCAGAATGGAAAATTTTTTGCATATTTCAAATCCCCTTATCTAGAAAGGCGGTTTGCAGAATTTTGCAACTGAAATTAAAATAAAACCCTTGAAATCAATGTACACTGTTCAGATATATATTTCTTCCAAGTTTTTGTTATTAATGTTGACTTGCAAAGTCTAATTCAAAATTTTTCAAAAACTATTTTCAAGCTTTACTTGAAGTTGGCTTTAACCTAGTACAGTGTTTCCCAACCCGAGTCCGCGATCTCAAATGAGTCCGCAGAGCATTTAAATGAGTCCGCAACGAGTCAGGAATTCACTGCGGGCCGAAAACGTTTTTGCGAAACTTAATTAACTATCAGCCAAGTTAGGATTTGCGTTAGAATTAACAAAAAATACATAAAAAGACAGTTTATTCACATGACATTGATCGCGTCAATAATTACTGGTTACTGAGTAGGGCTGGGCATATATTCGAATATTCAACTATTAGAATAGCACATTTACTAATCGAAAATTTGGTAACACGTGACGCGACAGGTCACTTGCGAGTCGCTTGATCAAACGATTGGATTTCACAAATCACTTGTGGATTTCCGACGAAAACAAGAGTCTGTACACGCTTCCATAGATTCGTAATAGGTGTTTCTCGCGAATTCGAACAACGAGGAATAAATTATTTTTCTGGTATGTGTAAATGGTGTCAACCCAAATTTTCTAAATTGAAAAACGGTTCGCGACCGAATAAAAACGTTTTTTTAGACATGGCAAATCGCAAAATTTTGGGTGCTACCGTAATATACGTACCAGGGCATTTTCCTTTAGGATTCTCTGCTTTACTGCCTCCACATTAGTCATGTCGCACAGTAGGTACGCACAGTAGTGATGTCGAATTCACACAGATTTGTCGAATTCACAAAAATACGAATCAAAACAAGATATAATCGGACGCATTTTTGCGTCCACGGATTGTAGTATTGCTCTTATATCGTCAACACAACCGCAGATTAAAAGAATCACATATGTGGATGGATTGAAAATTTTATGCAACAGAAAAAAATATTGAAAAGTCGGCTCTTTTAACGAGTGACGTATACGCGACGATTACTTCAGAAGTTGTTCGCGAGAATTTCAAGGCGATGAATATGTATTTTCGATTTACTAATATATATACTTAATAAATTTTTGAATCTATTTCTAATAAATGCTAAATTAAGTTGTACATTCTGGAAATTTATAGCAGATAGTATGATTTTTTTTCTAACAGCGAGACAAATTCACAAGATCGCAAAAAATATGTGTCAAAGCTGAATATAATCAGGCAATATATTCTCTCATTATTATGTTCGCAGATGGCAGTGGAATTTTGAAAAAGTAATGCTTTCATCTTGTGGTAAGTCGTTGCAACCGCTATTACCGCGATGAACACAATTAAAGAAAGACATTTTAAATTCTGGTCGTTGTCATGGATTGAATACTGTGCGACAGAAAAGTCCATTATACACCGAAAAAATCGGCTTTTTCAACGAACGCCTAATTGCGGTGAATTTCCGATTTTGAAATTCGTTAAATTGCTGTTGCGTTTGGTTTTATTGCTTCTTTACACAGGGTACGGTTGCAATAAACGTACCCTGGGTCCGCAATGGTTTTCGCTGGTGAGAAAATAGTCCGCGATCAAAAAAGGTTGGGAAACGCTGACCTAATACAAACGATTATGTTGTCACAGAAAAGTTTCATTCAACTATAGACGGCGAACTAGAACTGACTCGGTTTTGACCCATATTTTTTTCTATTTTAATTCGGTATCATGAATTCGAGAGTAGTGCGATACCATGACAAATTCCCTATTACCATGATGTGATGATCATACAGCCATACTCTTATTGTTTGGAAATGCCTTGAGGAACTCCTTCGTATAGCCTACAACAAACGTGTCACATGTAGCGTCTTAACTTCTATACATTTTACGTAAATCTTCAAAATTTCCTTGGCCTTGCAGAAATTCCATTCAATCTTTAATTAACTCTTCAAAGTTTCTTTCATGTTCAGATACATTGTAGCCCAGAATTCTTAATGCTTGGCACATACTTTTGGTTCCAGTTTTCAAAAAAACAACAACAATTAGAATCTTCATCTTGCAACAATCTCGTTTTATAAATGTGTTGGGGTGACAACACTTAATCGGAATCAGTTGCTGTTAATGTAATACTTAAATGCTACTCGGAGAACGCAATCCCTAATGTAGGTAAATATATATTTGGCACAATTGCCAAACTTCCATTCAGACCACTTGTATCAAGAAAAGTAACACCCGCTCAATCAGAACTTTGCAGTAAAGAATGAAACTGACTCAGGAACAAACATCTACTAGTTTATCTACTGAGTGTTATTGCAGAGGTAGTGTAAATATAGAGCTGTTTTAACAAAATCTAATCCTAGATGGTGTTATTCTTCCTGCTGCTATTTTAGTTCTCACGGTATTCTTGCTGTTGTTGGTGCGCTTATATTTTTCCATACTGAATTCTTCGTCCGATCAATGAGACTTATGTCGCGCATTGTTTCGGTGAGAGTCTTTACAAATTATGTTTAAATATATACAATTAAGAAGACAGCATTTGTAATGAAGATACGATTAAATATTTCAGTTAACACGTCGTCTTCAAATCGCACAGATATCTAGTGCGAGGTCATAATTATAAACATAATTTGGTCACAGTGCTTGACATAAATTACCCATATTTACATGTAATTGATTGGTTAGAGATCGTAGTTGATTGCAAAGATTGTCCATGTAAAAATAATAAGAATCTCTCTCACTTTCGCTGACACTGTTTTGACCTAACACACTGATTCGCTGTTGTTTATCTCAGTCCCCTTTTTTAGTTAAATGCCGTTGGTGTAAATAAGTAAAGAAAT